TCAACGTAGGTTCCTAACGTAGTTGTTATTGCCTGAATCAACTGTCGAATCACCGGAAAACCAATATCGCCGAAATCGAATTATTGAACGGCCTTTTGATTTTGTTTTCGAGTTCTGCGTCAATAGTGGAAACTAGTATCATAAAATGAAGATTGAAAAACAGAAAATGGCGAAAAGACGACATCGTTTTGAGAGAGAGAGAGAGAGAGAGAGAGAGAGAGAGAGAGAGAGAGAGAGAGAGAGAGAGAGAGAGAGAGAGCAAAATCAAATGGCTTTTTTTGGAGGAATCAAACTTTGTTTTATTTTCAAATAATGTGAGTGTGACAAAGAGTTGGTTAATGCAATTCCAAAATATATTTAAAGCTGTGAATAGAATCCAATTTATGGCAAATGTGGATTGGGTATTATTAAATTTGTGGGCCCAAATATGAATTTAAGAATTGGGCCCAAACTTGATTAATTCTTGGTGGCCCGATTCTTGGAAAGCTAATTAAAGCCCGGCCCAAAGTCAATCCTCTTGATCTTGACTGTTCAATTACTTCGATTAATCGTGGACGTTAGATTCCTGCAAATTGATTGGGCCTATAGTCCGGGCTTTTGTATATGGACCATCAATTTTATAGCCCAATAAAACTGAATTTCCTGATTAACTTAAAACAGAATAATCAGTATTAATTAATTTATTTATTTTTAATTTTGAGCACGAAGTATGAAATTACGTGCATGCCTGTCAGCTTTATAAATAAAAAATAAATTAAGGTGAGAAAAAGGTTTGAATGTGACGAAGTCAAAATGTCAAAAATGTCAACCTTTTTCATTTTATTTATTTATATTTAAAGCAATAAACAATTACAGAATAATATTTGTTGAAGAGATCAAAATCAGATGGTTGGCACGTTATAATTAGCAGCCAACTGCTCTCTAATTTGACGTTCATAATTGATTAAATTCAACATTAAAAAGTAGGGTAAATTACAAACAGCCCTGACGTATGGTCAATTTACAAAAAAAAAACCCTCTTGTTTAGATAATTACATCTACCCCTTTAACTATGTTTTTTTCTTATACCTCCACCTTTATGGTGTCAAATTCAACATAACCATCTACATTTCGTGGAATGTGCTATAGTTTGTACTCGTTTTGTGTATAAATGCAGTTTCTGATGCACCACAATCTGATATATACAAGCCAGAAAACACATATTATGATCATCTTGCTTCGAAATGTATAGTTTAAATGGGCTAAAAACGGGTACAAAAGTGATCATATTACATATAATCTCGAAGATTCCACTAAATTTGAGGAGTTGAGGGGTGATTGTAATTATCCAAACAAGAGGGGGTTTTCGTAATTTAACCATACATCTGGGGTGGTTGTAATTTACCCTTAAAAGTCTAATTAAATTAGGTGGCTTTAATTAAAGAATTTTTAATTTACTTGGGCTTGCTTTAAAATTTGATTGGGTCAACAAGCCCAGAAGTGGGAACAAATAGATACCGGACCCGGATCCGGATCCGGATCCTTAAACGGGTATGGAGCATGAGTTTCAACAGTCTCCTATAAATGTGGAGGGAAAAAAGAATCGAACAAACCAAAGGACTCATTCTTCATTCTTCAATCAAATCAAAAGAAAAAACACAAAATTGAATAGAGAGAGAATTCCCATTCCCCATGATGAACGAAAACGACGATCGAGATAAACCTAATTTCAGTAATCGAGAATAAGAGAAGAGAGAGAGAGAGAGAGAGAGAGAGAGAGAGATCAACGAAGCAGGGAAGAAGAAGAAGAAGATCGCGCAGCAGAAACAAACAAATGGGAGCGTACAGAGCGGACGAGGATTACGATTACCTCTTCAAGGTGGTTCTGATTGGCGATTCCGGCGTCGGAAAATCGAATCTTCTGTCTAGGTTCACGAAGAACGAGTTCAGCCAGCAGTCCAAATCCACGATCGGCGTTGAGTTCGCGACGCGTTCGATTCAGGTCGACGATAAGGTTGTCAAGGCCCAGATTTGGGATACCGCCGGCCAGGAAAGGTAATCAATTGTTAATTTCTCCGTGAATTTCTGAATACGAAGATCTTATGATGCGTACTGTGATTCGTTTGATTTTTCATTTCTGTATGCCTGATTTTTTTTTTGTATTTCTGTGATTTTTGCTTGTGCCGTAATGAATTGGTTTGATCGGTCGGAATTTCGAATATTTAGCTGGATCATTTCATATGTGATGGTGAAAATGTCTATCTCATGAGAATTCTGCCCAAATGCGTGTTTTTTTTACGTCGAAAATGACGATAATTTCTTCAAATTTGAATTATGTGGGACATAGAAAGTATATTTTCGGGATAATTAGCTCATATGTTTATATATATATGCTTATGTATAGACGTACTGATTGAAATCAACACGACCAATTGACGATTTGATCAAATGTCACTGGTTACATGTCGAATCGTGTTAAACCGTGTGTTTGTCTGCTAAAAACAAAATCGGTAACTGTGTGTTTGTCGACACGAAAAAGAAAAATCAAGGTTAATTTATTTGCATAAGCTCGTCAACATTCATGAGTGTTGACGGTGCCATTGTTAACTTAAACCAGAAGCGTATTTTGTTAGGAAATGTTTACGAATCTCTAACAGCTTATTAACAGTTGTTCACATCGGAGTTATTGATGCAACGAAGGGTATGGAAACTTGTAGTAAATATATAGTATTTTCTGGCATCATAAATTTTAGCCATATATAACCATCTACTACTGCAGTTTCATCCCGTTTATATCATCACTTAACAAAATGCAATTATCGTTTTTCTTTAAACAAAGGTACCGAGCAATTACAAGCGCATACTACAGAGGAGCAGTGGGTGCATTACTTGTTTACGACGTGACACGTAACGTGACCTTCGAAAACGTCGAGAGATGGTTGAAGGAGCTTAGAGGCCACACAGATGCAAACATTGTCATCATGCTCGTAGGTAATAAAGCAGATCTACGTCACCTTAGGGCGGTCCCCACAGAGAAAGCCAAAGCATTCGCTGAGAAAGAAAACACGTTTTTCATGGAAACTTCTGCCTTAGAAGCTCTGAATGTAGAGAATTCATTCACAGAAGTTTTGACACAAATCTATCATGTGGTGAGTAAAAAGGCTCTCGATATAGGCGATGACCCTTCGGCTTTGCCTAAGGGACAAACGATTCATATTGGAAATAAAGACGATGTTTCTGCTGTCAAGAACAAAGGCTGCTGCTCTGGCTAACACTAGCAGAAAAACAAAAAAATGACGAAAATTCAAATGTTTCGGTGTGGAAGAATTTGGGGAAGGTGTTATGTATAGCAGAAACCCGATTTTCGATTCTTTTATAGTTGGTTTTTTTAATTAACAGAAAAGGAAGTTGAAGAAAACGAAAGATCGTGTGGACGGTTTTATGATCAGCCTGTGAAGATAGGAATTTTTGTATTTGCTTTAACTGATTATTATTCGAAGTTCGGTTACGTACTCCCTTTTTGTAATGCTTGTGTGTAATTTGATGCGACGATTGAGGTTAGTTTAAGGTTGTTTATTGCTGCATGCAGACATGGTTTTTCTTCTGGTAATTTGTTTTTTTTCGGTTTGGAAAATGATTTTTATTTTATTTTAGTGTCTGCTGGCTGGCTACATTGTGTAGCAGATTGGACTAATGAAGATTGACCAAATGCTGGCAATTTTTGGCATGTGTTAAATGTTGGTCACACAATGTACTGTCTTGGAAGTTTCTAACTGGGAATTTTAGCATGGATTTCTTTTTTAAATTAGGAGAAATTGGCAAATTATCAAATTTAAATTAAATTGGAGAAAAAAATAGTTAAATTTTTTGAACTGCATGCATATATGTCGTTAATAATTTCTGCAATCAATAATAGGACCGGCACTTGAGCTGAGCCTAATCGAGCCCGATAGTTCGGCACGGTTATATTTGGGTCCAACTTATTTTTAGTGAATTGGGCCGAGTTTGAACCATTTTACGAAATCTGATTTATTTATGAGTCGAATTTGGGTCTACTTTGGCTCAAATCGAACAAAGCCCGACCAGTTAAATAAATAATAAAATACAAAATATAGTTATTATTTTAATGATATGGTTCAACATATAAATTACAACCGTACAACATTATTTTATTTTACAAAAAGAAATAAAAAGTCAAAATAAATTTAGAGGTGGCGGTGGCATCGGTAAGACCAAATGCAACTAGATCTTAAAAAATCATATTTGTACAATTTTTTTTGTAAAATAAATTGACTTCAAACTATATTAATTTTCTTCCAATTTGTTATTTATTTATTTATTTTGGAGAAGAATTCTTCCAATTTGTTATCCGTAGGCATTTATTAGAATTTGTTTTTTTTTTTTTTTTGTTAGGTGCAACTGAAAGGATGGCCACACTAAATAATATATTAAAAAAAGAAAAGAAAACTAACGCGTTGGTGACGTGCCATCCTTTCGCCACATGTCATCCGACGTGGCACTAACAGAAACGTGGTGGCAGCCGTTAATCGCATGTGGAGAAGGGAAAAGAGCGTGGCAAACTCAAACCGCCGCGAGCTGACAGGCGCCAAACACACAATCACCGAGAGCCAATCAGAATCCACCACGTCGACAAAAAGAGTTCTTCCCCTTCCCACCACGCAAGGAATATTTACTGGACCGCGTTTCTTCAATTAAGAGAGAGAGAGAGAAGAGAGAGAAACAAACACCCACGCAGATAAGTTCGTTTGGTTTAATCTCTCTATCAAAAGAATTCTTCTCCCCTTCAAATTCGTCGCCACCTTTTTCTTTTTCTTTTTCTTTTTCTTTTTATATATATATATATAAACAGGTTTTCTTCTGAGGGTCTGAAGATCACAAATTTTCAGCATCCTCGGATTAAATACTCTGTTTTGAATTCTCATTATTCAATAATTAAGAGAGAGGAGAGAGAAAATCATGGACGGCGCCGCCGTGTTTCTCAGGCAACCAATTGGCCTTTCGTCTTCCGGCTACTCCGCCGCCGCTGCTCCTCCGCCATCCTCGAAAACTTCATCGGCGTTTGTTGCTATGCGGCGAGGTGAAATCCTGTCGTCTGGGTTTTGCGATCAGGGGCATTTGCAGTATTATTACAACAGCTGTAATAATGTGGGCCCCACTTCTTCATCTTCTTCTTCGTCTAGAATGAGTGTGAAGCAAGAGAAAGAGAAGTCAGCGAAGAAGATGAAGAAGAAGCAGTTGAAATTGCTGAAAGGGCTTTCTCGGGATTTATCAAACTTTTCTCAGATTGGATTCGGATTGGATTCAGATGGGTTGATTGATCAGGTCAAAGGCAAAACTCTCTCGGTATGAACACCACTTACCATTTTTTTTCCTTTATTGTGAAAATTACAGTTTTCACCCCTGAAGTTTGCACCGATTTCACGTTTGGTCCCTATGTTTACAAACAAACACTTTTGGTCCCTAGTGTTTCAATAATGTAACACTTTCGGTCAATTTCATAAATTTAACGTTAGTCCATCGGTTAAGGCAGTGGCGGGAACACATTTGATTCCGTTAGCTTTTTAACAAAAATAACAGAAATGACTAAAATTATTGAATTTTTGAAACATGAGGACCAAATGTATAATTATTGCAAATTTGAGGGTCGAAAACTGCATTTTTTTCCTAATCTTTATTTAATTCTCTTGATCTTAGTTCTCTGACTAATTCGATTTGATCGAGATTTGAATTATCAATTCTCAATCTCACAAATATTTAATTTGAGATTCCATCTAAAGATAAAAGCTTGAGTAATGGGTACTAAATTGTCAATTGAAAATTCATAAAGATTTAATCTTTATACCATGTCAACAGAATTTTGATATTAACCCTGTTTCTGTTATGCTCTGTTGCAGGAAGCAGCAGAGCTTTTAATGGTGGAGCTTCAGAAAATTAAGGCAAATAAAAAAGAACTAAAGAGAAAAGCAAAAGAAGAAAAAGCAAGGCTAAAAGCTTCCCAAATCAAAAACAATTTCGTCGACTGCGAAATGTCGTCTTCGTCCTCCTCATCGGAATCGTCAAGTAGCGACGGCGAATGCGGAGAAGTCGTAAACATGAAAACCCTCAAAAGTGCACAGTCAAAACAAGACAGCCCACAACAAGTCATCGAGGAGCCAACTCCAACTCCGATTACACAAACCGTTGCTCCGTTAGTCGCTCCGTTAGACGCCATTGTCGCAGAAGCAATCGGGGTTTCAGTCGAAGAGAGAGAAAGTAGCTCTGTTGTTTCAGTCGAAGAGGGAGAAAGTAGCTCGGTTTTAGCGGCGAGTTCGAAGAAGATAGAGGTTTGTTTGGGTGGGAAATGCAAGAAATCGGGCGGGGCTGCATTGCTGGAGAAGTTTCAGAGTACTGTGGGGATTGAAGGTGCAGTTACAGGGTGCAAGTGTATGGGGAAGTGCAGAGAGGGTCCAGTTGTGAAGGTGTGTGGTGCAGGTGTAGCTGATAATAACTCTGCTGTGAAGGTTGCTGCAGCCGCTAATTCGTTGTGTATGGGTGTCGGTTTGGAGGATGTTGATATGATTGTTGCTAATCTTCTTGGCCAAAGTGCTAATCATCTTGGTTTAGTTGGTGCTTCTTAGGATTAGTGTGTATAATTCTTTTACTAGGGTTTGTTGCTATTGTAAATCGAAATACAAGTTGTCGAATGCAATAATCTTTTCTTTTTAAGGGGTCGTTAATGCTGTTATACACGATTTTTTATTTTTACACCCCACCAAAGGGTGTGATAAAATCTACTGCTGTTGCAACTTGGAGCAATACGTATTTTCTGATGGTCGATTCTATGCTACACTCAATGAAGTTTACATTTTATAGATTCTTATAATGAAGTTTACATTTTATAGATTCTTATCGTTCATCTACACACACCAACATGGGTGTGTGTTCTTGTGTGAGAATCAAGAAAAATATACTAAAAGGCAACAAAAATGTAACTAATCAGCTTTCACCAAGATAGAGGTGTGTTGGTGTGTGTTCTTGTGTGAGAATCAAGAAAAATATACTAAAAGGCAACAAAAATGTAACTAATCAGCTTTCACCAAGATAGAGGTGGTCGTTCAACATGGCATTAGAGTCGGACCAATAGTGCAATCAAACACGACGACACAAATAAATTGAAAAGTAGACGAACACAATTTCCGCATACGAAAAAAAAACAGCTACCGATAATTATATTTCAACACTCCAACATGCACTGCAGATTGTGAACAAAACCATCAATGTAAGAACTCTCGAGCCCTTTAGTCAACAAGAAACTCCTCCACTTGACCCGATTCGCTTCGATTTCTCTCCCGATCTCGCAGTCATCGTCCATCACCGATCTCACAGCTGTCACCACACCATCTCTCGTAAACAAACCGTCTTCATCACCTTTCTCAACCTCAACCCCCACTCGTAAATCCCCGCCCATCAATCTTGCATTCACAAGTTGGTCGCCAACGTGTGGCATTAGCACTAACCTGCACTCGTTCACCAAAGCCTCCGACAAAGAACCCCACCCGCAGTGCGTCACGAAGCACCCCACCGAAGGGTGCGATAGAATCACCTGTTGTTGCACCCAACCTCCCTCAACCACCCCTCTCTCCATCGTTCTCTCTCTAAAACCCTCCGGCAAAGCCTCCTCCACCGTCGCCGCCCCGATCGGCGGCTTCAGGGCGGCGAAAAACGGGAGTCCGGTTTGCTCAAAACCCAACACCAATTCTTGAAATTGTTCCCTTTGTAGCCTAGCTTCGCTTCCGAATGCACAATAGATCACCGACTTGGGCTTGAATTGATCCAACCAATTAGCCCATTTCTCGTCTAGGGTACAAGTTGGCGGGTCGGGCAAAACCGGACCCGCCAGAATAACCCGTTTCTTGAATTTCCTCTCGAGGAATTCAAGATACGGGCCCTCCATTTCTCTGCATGATTTGAATCCCATAGCGTCACACTCATTAGCCGACATGATCATACGCTCCACGTACTTCATTTCCGAGCCGAATTCTTTCTGATTGTTGATCCGATAAATCACACGCGCCTCGTGTTTGTAAAGCTTGATTTTTGACGGAGGGAAATCTGACGGGGGTTCGATATAATCATCCACCGTAGGCTCATCTCGGAAGAGAAAAGCCGCGGAAGCGGTGGTTATGATGAAGTAGTGAATCGACTTAATGCCTAAGCTTCGAGCCAAAGAAGGTAGCCATGGAGTGAAATCGAAGAACACGAAATGGGGTTTGATTTCTTTAAGGAGGTTCTCGACAGTTGATTTTGTGAGGTCCATTGCGTGGCGGAGGAGTGAGTACATCGTAAAGGGCACATCGGACGTGGTTTCGGTTCCGTTAGGGAGGCCTTCGACTTCAGGAACGGTTATCGGTATGAATTCGATTAGGGTTGGATGGTGGTTGAATTGGTTTAGCTTGGACTGTACTTTTGTGGGGAGTATGAAGAAGATTTTGTGGCCTTTTTCGGCGAATTTGTTCGATACGTGAAGGAATGTTGTGAGATGCCCCATGGCGAACCAAGGGTACATTGCAATCTTCATGGTTTTTTCACCCATTTTTACTTGCTATGAAATCAAAATCAAAATAAAAATAAAACTGTTAAGAGTGTATATTTCTTTTCATGAAGAAGTGGGAGTGTTGGTTTTATGGAGAATTTCTGAATCTTGATGGTTGAGATTTTTTGGGGATCTAATGAAAATTTGACTGAAAACTAGGATCACTTAGGTACGACCACCCTGAAGTAAGAAGATCAAATTGCAAATAAATCCTTCATGTTTGGGTTATTACAACCACCACCTAATACTTCAGAAGATCAAATTGCAAATAAATCCTTCATGTTTGGGTTATTACAACCACCACCTCAGCTGTGAATTTTCTTACACGTCAGTGTCAAATTCACCCATTGAACGAGGGTTGTTTTCGTAAGACAAATACATAATTGAGGGGATGATTATAATTATCCAAACAATAAGGATTTTTTCATAATTTGATCTTTTATGGGGGTTGACTGTAATTTGCCCTAAAAACTACATGAGAATTGATCAAACTTTTTTGTCGCTCTGTGCGGCTAAGAGTTAAAATAGGCAAGAGAGTTGTGGTCAACGTCCATTTATTTAGTAGATTTATGGTCAACGTCTATTTATCAAAGTAATTCACAATAAAGAAAAAAGCGAAAGATATCAAATCAATTATTAATTTATTTATTTTTTGAACAGAATTAAAAGTTAAAACTCTTAATCAAAATAGTGCAGAATTAGAGAAGCCAGGATGTTCATTCTTTATATACCCAATGAGTAAGCTACACGTGGCTTATTTTGTAAATATTCACCTGAACAAGAAAAGTTCATACACCGAACCATCTTAGCAGATAAAACATGATCCAGTATGTTATGACTGTATATATATTATCGAAAGATTCTTACCGAAGTTTGCAAACACCAATCAAGTCAAATAGTAGCCGTTGTTATTGTCAACAAGATAATCATACGGTGCACCTCCCCTCGGGTAATCAAACCCTTCACCGGTATTAGCCTTGCTCCTCGCCTTAACGATTCGCTGATTACCATCATTAGGGAACTCTGCATTAAGCCTGCCCATTTGCTTCTGCAGATCAACAACCGAGTCATTACCCATTTTACCCTTGGGAGTTTTCCTCCCATCGACGCGCTTCACTTCGAGCCTATACAGAGCGCACATATCGTATCTATTGATTTCGTATTCGTAAAGATGCCACTCGAAGTTTTCCATTGGCTGTGGGTCCATGTAGTAGGATCTTTTGAGACCTCCGAATTCGTTCATCACTTGCTTCCTTGACTCGTGCCAGCCTCGGCCGTTGTAGTCGGGGAGGGAGCGTTGCTTGCGGGTCCCGCTTTCGAAGGCTCTTCTTGGCTTGTCGAAGAAGAGCCACTCCCTTATTGTTTCACCGTCCAATACCATGAGATCGAAGAGCTCTGTTTTTTTAAGAAACAATTGCCTCGTTAGTGTTCGGAAATTAAAATCAGATCAGAAATCGAAATCTTATGTATTCCAATTCCGATCCAAAACAATCGTATATCGGAATGACAAATATTGTTTCATAATCGGAATTTTCAGAAATTAAATCAGATAATAAATCGGTTGTAATGTGTATTCCAGTTCGTTTCCAAAAAAAATCAGAAAAATCGAAATTCGCAATGAAAAAATATTATTCCAAAAATTAGAAATTTCCGCATCAGAATTGGCAGAATTCAGAGACCCCGTCTCCAATTCCCACCCCTACAAAATACAAAGGAAGAGCAAACTTACCAGGGGCATTCCAAGGGGATTTTGAAGTAGCAGCGCCCTCACATTCCGGAATGCCAACATCTTTGCCTCGTGACTTTGCACCAAGAGCCGAAAAAAGCATGTTATCTTTCAACCCAATGCCACCTGGCCTTATTACGGGGGGCCTACCAGGGTAGCCTTCACCAGGTGCTATGCCAGCATGATAGCTACTGCAATAGTCGTCTGGATTTTGTGACCATTCTAGCCCTAGTGCTGGTCTCGGACAATCCCAAAGGGCACATTTGGCACCTAAAAAAGCAGAAGGTGGAGGGGGAATACTCTGCTGATAGATTGGAAACTGAGTCGTCGTTTCATCGAACCCCGAGAAATAGTGGGGCCCGATTTCTTGATTGAAATCGAATGAAGGGAAGTTGGTTTGGCACTGTTTCTCCAAACACATGTTGTTAGTTTCTATAGTGGTGGTGGGTCCCATGGCGGTGTTTTTGCACTGGTCGAGTAATGGAAAGCCTTGTTCGTGAGAATTATTGTTAGACATGTTGAAACCCTGCCAACGAGAAAATTGCACAATTCTCGAGTAAGGCCCAAATAAGAAGCAAAACAAATCTGAATTTCTTGCAGTCGGAACTCAGAATTACATTAAAACAAACAAAGTCGTGTCCTCTGTCAGTTGTAAAAGCAGCTAAAATTGGTATATGTTAAGCTCTCGATGTCGAAAAGATGTATATATAGAAGCAAAAAACTGACCTCTCGAGAAGTAAATCCATTCACAACCTTCGGAACACCGGGCTCTGGCTTTGGTGGAGCTAATAAACTAGTTGCATCATCTTCCTCCTCGTAAAACTTCAGCAGCCTACAAATCTCAGACGAAAACGACCCCAAGCTCCCTCCCTGTCAAATGATTATCGATCGCATAAAAAATCAGATGTCCCGTTTTTTTTTTTTTCAAGAATTCAATACCTTATTCTATTTTGCACAAGATACTCCACCAACAAAAAACACCCATTCAAATCGATCCATAAATGTCGAAAGAATGGAGACACTGTAAATATAATAATCATGCAGCTTCATATAGGCATAAAATATAACGCGAGTAAGCATATATGCAATTTAATGTGATGAGATATGATTACCTGCTGGTGCAAGGAAGAAGCTGGCGAGGGCTCGTTTAGTTCGGCCTTCCATTCTCGAAGCATCTGGTGAACTTGCTCTTCGAGCAAAGCCACATCAATTGAGCGGCTCTCTTTTCTGGCTGATTGAAGATCGCCGAACATGCCTTGCAGATCATCCACACGATTCTTTGCTCTATCCTTGAAGAGGTTGTGTGATGCCGATTTGCATGCACCGCTCTTCGAACCCTTCCCCATCCAAATATATAATAGCAGAAAAACTTCTATCCTCAAATTGTCAAGAAATTTCTGCACAAAAACACAGAGCAAACAGTATTAACATCAAAGATTGGGAATAATTTAAGGATAATTACACATACAATTCAAATAAGTAACTGAAATTGAAGACTCTAAAAATCAAATACATGCCACAAAATTGACATAAAAAACGTGAGATTAATAATCAAACAACTACAATATATATATATTTTTAAATCGTTCAACTAAACAGACACACACACACACACACACACACACACACAACAAAATTGCAAGCAAATCAGAACAATTTCATCCAATTTCGCAAAAAAATATGCAGAGTAAATACACAAACGCAAGGGTCAGAGAAGAAACAGTGACAAATTTCATGAAATTACACACGAAAATGAAAAGAAAAAAAAACACCAAAAGTAAAGCGGCAGTACTGGCACAAGTGAGCTAGAGAGAGAGAGAGAGAGAGAGAGAGAGAGAGAGAGAGAGAGAGAGAGAGAGAGAGAGAGAGAGAGTATACCAGTTGAAAATGGGATGGAGTGAGGGGTTGAACGGTGATGATTGAAGAGGGTAAACAAAAGGTAGAGAGTGGAATTTGTTCTGCGAATTACTCCATTTTTTTTCTTCTTCTGATTATTCAGTGCGCGCATATATTGATTGTGAGATAAAAAAGCAAATACAGTGCCACACGCGGCAAACGGTGTGGATGAAGCTGCAGCGATTTAGGGATTTTTGGTATTTTACACTTTTACCCTTTTAACAAAAGAAGGTGGTGGCGGTGGTGGTGCTGGTGGTTGGTTGTTTATGTGTTGTTATTAAGATGCAAAAAAGCATATTTTATTCTTTTTCTTTTCTTTGGTCATCATTTGAAATTGAATTGATCGGATGGGGTCTATATTAATTGTTTTGGATTCTATTTTGAAAAAGAAAAAAAAAAGTTGGAAAAATCAAAAAATCGATCGAAATTAGCACTTTCGGATCGGAAGTGAAAAACTAGTTCCAATTATGTTTCGAAATTGAACTGAAAAAACTTGTTCCAAACTCAAAATTTTTGGATCACAATCGACGGATATCAGAAATCGTAATTTTTTTATTCATCTATGATATAAAATAATAAAATACATAATAATAATAATGACACTGTAAGTTAATTTTTTAAAATAAAACAATATTTATTTTTGGAATTATCTTTAGAAAATAAACTTCAATGCTATCTTTCACATATTCTTTTCTATTTTCTCTTTTTGGGCATTTTTTATTCTTGAAAATAAAAAATAAAGCTAGCCTAATTTCTATAAGAACTATTAATCTCAATCATCAATTGATATAATTATGTATTTGACTGCAAATTAGTATCACTAACTCCACGTGTCAAAATATTATTAGCTACAAAACTAAAATAAGACAACAAAAGTGTAAGAAGTGTTCCACCAAGCCAAGAACCACCAGTTTAAAGGCCTTCTTCCGTGGAGAATAAAAGGAAAAAAGAAGAGAATAAGCATAGCAAGAAACGTATAAAGGGTACAATCCACCACCATTTATATATATTCCTCTTGTCAATTATTTGAGATGGAACATAATTAAAATAATTTATTATCCCAATACTAATCATCATTTAAAGATAATTATAGCATCTTTGAAATATAAATAATACTCAAGTTTAGTATATGTTCAAGAATATAAGGTCAACAATTTGATTTATTTGGGGGTAAATAGCACTTAACCCCTGTGATTACAAGCTTTTTGCAGATGACCCCTTGTGCTCGTAATAGCAGCACATAACTCCCTTGTTGTTTATGGGGTGATTTTTGTTAGTTTTTTCTGTCTAACTTAATCTCGTGTGTCAAATCCAATACGAAAACAAAAAAAAATTGTAAATTGCTAATTCCAATAATATACAATTTTGGGCCGAAATTATTTAATTAAATTGGGCTGAGAACTTCTTGTACAGTAATTGGTCGTCCTACAACTCTTTATCAGGGCCCCACTTTCAAAAGCCCAATCCCCGTAACATCCATCTTTAATTCTTTATAACTCAGAATGAATCCAAGCCGTTGATTAGAAATAATCCAACGCCGCAAAACCTCTCTACCAACAAACACAACTTAGCAGCGCCACGTCAACAATCCGTAAGCGCAACCGTTTTCACCGTAGATACACTGACTAACCAACGCCCCCGATTACTCTTAATTCCCCGCCTCTTCGCCACGTCATCCATCCTAACAAAAATTTACTAAACAAACCACAGCCGTTGATAAGAAACCCTAATCAACGGCTAGAGCCAATCTTCATCCCGCCCAATTTTCACACCCCCATGTATAAATAAATTCCCCCCCAATTCCTCTTCAATTCACACACTCACTCAAAATCAAATTCCCTCTTCCCACTCTGCAATTTCAAAAACCCTAGAATCAGCAAAATTCAAAAAAAAAAAATGGCACGTACCAAGCAAACAGCGCGCAAGTCCACCGGAGGCAAGGCGCCACGTAAGCAACTCGCAACTAAAGCCGCCAGGAAATCCGCCCCGGCCACCGGCGGCGTGAAGAAGCCCCACCGTTTCCGCCCAGGAACAGTCGCCCTCCGTGAGATCAGAAAGTACCAGAAGTCAACCGAACTCCTCATCCGTAAGCTGCCATTCCAGAGGCTCGTACGTGAGATCGCTCAGGATTTCAAAACAGATCTGAGGTTTCAGAGCTCCGCCGTGGCGGCGCTTCAGGAGGCGGCGGAGGCTTATCTGGTTGGACTCTTTGAAGACACTAATCTCTGCGCTATTCATGCTAAGAGAGTCACAATCATGCCGAAGGATATACAGCTGGCAAGGAGGATTAGGGGTGAAAGGGCGTAGATTTAGGGCTTTCTATTGGCTTGTACTACTCTGTTCAATTATATTGTAATTTGGTATGAATGTTTTTTAATGAAATGCTAATTAATTTCAATTCAATTCTATGTTGCACGGACACGGATACGTGTACACGGCGATACGCGGATATGGACATGGTGATACGGCATTTCCAAAAAATTAGGATACGGACACGCGAGGGATACGTGTAAATATAAAAAAATATAGGGGTATATTTATAAATAATAAAAATACAGAGGTACATTTATAAATTGTAAAAAATATGTATAAGTCGTCATCCCATAATAGAACCGCCCGCCCTTGTTGCTCGTGTTCTTGGTCGCCGTCGCATGTTAGACTTTTGGAGTTTTGGGTGGACTTACAAAGAAAACAGAGAAAATGTGTATTACAGAGAAAATAAAATGCGCATTTTTTTAATCTTCACCTTCTAGAAGTGTCCATGCAGCATAGATTCAATTGTATTTTCTCTCTTAATTTTGTTTAATTGCATTTTATTCAGATATGATCTAGCTTTAAATCCGGCCCATTTTCATATTCAAGATTCAATTTTTACAGTAAACATTGTATAAATATGAATTCTGTGTACACCAATAAATGTTTTTAATGAGATGCTAATTATTTTCGATTCAATTATATTTTCTCTCATAATTGATTTTAATTGCATTATATTTCATAAGTGATTTTAATTGCATTTTAATTTCGGCCCCTTGTTCATATCCAAGATTCAATTTTTACAATAAATATTGAAATAAAGATGAATTCTGTGTACACCATTGCATGTTTTAATTCCTCCACCATTAAAAAACCCCTATATTTGTGGATGTTTCATATCCAGAACAAAATTAATGGTCTGAAAACCTGTATTCCTTTTTAATAGGCTACAATCATGTACAGCCATTTATTTCTACACCCTTTTCTTCCTTCTTTCCTCAGTGCAGAAAAACACAACCCATTCCAATTTACCCCTAAGCAAACTTTGTGAGATATTGTAAAGAAAACATTCTTTCATATCCCTCTTTCTAAATTCTCGTTCAATAAGAAAATGGCAGGTAACGTGTACCTAAAAACCAACCGCTTCGAAGTAAAACTCGAAGGGATCACATTCAAGACGAAAGATTTCGAGTATTTATGCAAAATTGATTTCCTCTTTCCGGAAGGTAGGGTGTGGGACCACCCACCGATTGTGGGCCTCGACGTAATGCGCCACCCTCGTGATCCGTCAATTCTTCTCATCTTACTAAGCTTCGGCGTTGGCTGTGTAATCCTCAGGTTTGTTGCAGGGGAACCACTTCCTCTTCCGATCCATAAATTCCTTTCAGACAAGAGAATCCGCTTTGTCGGGTTCGGCATACCCGAGAAGAAAAAATTGTTCCCATTTCAAGAATTGGGCTTGTCCAAAACCAAAGTGGACATTGGATATTTAGCAGCAAAGATTCTCAAAGAACCAAAATGCAAGACATGGGAGCTTGCTGAGCTGGCCCGTAGGGTTCTTGGTATCAAGAGAATGATCGGCATGACAGAGGCTTCGTCTTTCGAAAGGCACGAGCAGATAAAGTGTGCCATTTGTCAGCTCTTTATTACGAGTGTGATTGCAATGGGATTATCCAAGGCAAGTGAGAAGAAAAAAAGCTCGTTTCTCAAGAATTTGAATTCCTTACATATCTTGGCCGAAGGGTGGTTCTTCAAGCTTCCGAAAGGTAAGAAGAAAAATCAGACAGTACAAGTGGAGGAAGAAGGAGACAGCGTACATGTCCACATAGGAGAAATGGAGGATATGCTCGGAGACGATTTCCTTGTCCGAATGAGCCCGTTCGGTGATTCCAAAAATCAAGAAAGTGACGACACGGAAGAGTATTCGTCTAGTTCGAAGGTCGAGCAAGATTCCTCTGGTGAAGATTTTTCGGATGACAAAGACACGTCGGATGATGGCGAAAAGAACGAGTCTTGTTCGGGTAAACTGCCCTTGAAAGGAATCTTGAAATGCCCATCCACGAATAATATGTTTCCGTCCGAGCCAGTATCTCCATCGGCTGAAAATGATCAAAATGGTATGAAAGGTGCGCTAAAACGAGCCAATTCAAAAGGATGTAATGTGAGGTTTAAATGTCAATAGCATTGTATTAAACTAGCAGAGGTTGTTCTGTAAGTACACGGGACAACCTAGTTTATGTCCTTTTTTTAATGTTGTTTCATCAGATTGTTCTAGGTAGAGTTGTAGCAATTGAAACTGCTGTATCGACTCAGGTGTAATTTCTACCTTTTATCCTAGAAATGTTTGAAGCATTTAGTTTCGCTTTTTATATAGGAAGATTAAATAGATGGAGTTGAATCTGCAAACTAAAATCTACAAGCAAAATATGAAGAACTAAATTTGACATGCGCAGAGTATGGTAATAAGACAAACAATGATCATCGTAAACTATAAATTTTAAACTTCGATTAGTGGTAATTAAGTTTTCATTTAAATCCGTATAGATTACAGAGAAGCCATTAAGAATGGATCGACAAAATCGTACTCATCTCAGTCCTAACTTAAGCCAGAAGCCACTCCACAAGTGCTACAAAAAAATTCAAATTCCAGAGAAATTGCTTGTTTTTGCAGTACACTCAAGCAAAGTCAACTCAGCTTAAAGCATAAAAAAATCAATAATCCCACTTAATAACTTCTAATCGAGATTTTATGCGTCGACAAACTAAAGATATAAAAGGAATCGAATTCTTGATTTTGTACGATCATTACACAGATACACGATGTTCGAAAAGGAGAACCTAGACCTTGTTTTGGTCCCGTGTGGTCTGCTAATTATGTTCTCGTATCATCTAATCCTCCTCTACCGATGTCTTAAGCTTCCTCATACCACTGTCATTGGCTTTGAGAACAACGACAAGAAAATTTGGGTCCAAAAACTTATGCAGGTCAGATTTTGCCTTAGTCTAATGATTATAAACGAATTTCGGATAGAATCGAGCCGAACAAATGACTGTTCAAGTTTATTTGAATTTTTTTTTATCGAACTTTAAGAGTTATGTTTGAGCTCGATTTAATAACCAGAACTTAATGTGATAAACAATCAATTAGAGCTGGAACGAGCTTTTATTGAGCCAAAACATGATTGTTTTATTGAGCCGAACACCAATTTAGCTCTAGTAGATTGATTTTTTATACACATTTTATCATGTATTTCTAATTAATCTCAAGCTCGAGCAAAACCGAGCTTCGTAGATTATCGAACAAAACATGTCCACACGAGTATTTAACGATGGACCACAAATTCAATATCTAGTAGTTTGATTTACTTTTCACTTATTTAACATTAACTCATATAAAATTGATTTTATTTTCAGATTAATCTGTAATTCATTGAATGCTAATGGTATGCAACAAACTCACCTTAAATCTTTTGGTGGTGTTGAATTTTTGGCAGTCGGAAAACAGGGACGTGAAAACGGCGCTGGACGTGCTATCGGCGAACGTAACGGCGGCAACTAACTTAGCGTCGGTATCTATAACCCTAAGTGCGCTGATAGGCGCGTGGATCGCCAACAACTCCAGCGTTTTCCAGAGCAAGTTGATCTACGGCGACACGCGACCCTCGACGATGTCGATCAAGTACGTTTCCCTCCTCGTCTGCTTCCTCCTGGCATTTTCCTGCTTCGTCCAGTCATCGAGGTGCTTCATCCACGCCAATTATCTAGTCAGCACCGCCGGCGGCGATTTGTCCGCGGAGTACGTTGAATTGGTGGTGATTCGCGGCGGCGATTTCTGGTCCGTCGGCCTGAGGGCGCTGTACTTCGCGACGCCGCTGCTGCTGTGGTTTTTTGGTCCGATCCCGATGCTTGCGACCTCCGTGGCTACGGTGGCGCTCCTCCATTATCTGGACAGCGACACCGCTTCGCTTAAGAAGAATCGGAGCATCGGAAAGCACAAGTTGCAGAAATTAGACGAGAGGATTTGAAATTTGCTTTTTTACTGAATGAATTTTCGTCAGTAAATTGTGTTCTGTCCAGAATAAAATAATTTCATCAATAAATTATGATGGAATTATGGACCGTTTGGTTGTTAAGATAAGCTATGATTAATTAAATATTACGATCTAATTTGACGTTTGGTATTCTCAATAAGTAATCATGGTTTATGTCTTCTAGGTTATTTTTTTTGTTGGAGAAAATTATTGAGTTTTATTAAATTATTTAATTTTATTATAACTAATTTTATCTTGATAACTAAACGAGGCTTAAGTATAAATAGATAAACAAAGAGAAATTCATCAAAGTAATTCCAATACATGGAGTTGTTATTATTTATCAATGGCTCAGTACTCAATAATCCAATCGACGTTCATAAATTCAAATTGTGCCAACTTCAGAAGGTGTCAAAACACACATAAAGACATTCAACTTCACTAATGCTGAAATCCCAAACCCTATATCTAATCTCACACTCAGATCCCTTCACTCCGTTAAGCACATTCAAAATCACTCAGATTTCCTTCACATAAAAATGTATCTCTCACTCACAGAAGAATGAAGACCTAAAACGAAGAAGGAAGACTCGTATGTATGTCACACTTTCTCTCTTACACCGAGGCAGACATTTACAGTCTGAAATGTAACCGTAATCAACGGATAAACTGCCTCAAAGCCAAGATCAACCATAGTTAGTGGCATTTGACTCAAATGCGGAAAAAAATCAATAGAAGGACGAAGGTACAGAATGAGACGTAGAAAAAGAAAAGATTAGACATAATATATCATACTAGAAATAAGCTAATTAAGGCCATCACAATATACTTCAAGCCCAAAATATTCAGGCCAAACTGGCTGGTCCATCTAATTGGGCTTAATTTCATAAAGTTGTGATCTTTGTATATAGAAGTCCATTAATTTTTAATTGAAAATAATTATATTTGATCCTCGGAAGATGCATCAAAATTGAAAGCTTATAAATTGTCTCATCAATATTAATTAAAAAAAAATAATAAATCAATTTTCACTTTCTATATTATTTTTAAATTGAATTATCACAAATTAAAGCATGTTATACATATTTTTTTTAATAACACTATATTAATTTCATAATTTACATAATAAAGAGTAAATAAATATAAACTCCACCAAATTAGTGTGGAAGCTTTTGACTAACCCATTTGAATAATCCCATTTGAATAATGACGTCAGTGTTTGCATCAGCATAAGAAAGGTCACCCACCGTCCAAAAATGAGAAAATTATGGCAAAAGCCGTGTAAATACACAATTTCCCACCTACCAAATATTCAATCCCAATTTAAATTATGTAAAACTATTATTAATAAATATAATAATAATACTTTTTTCTGAAATCGGAAATTCCGTTCTAATAACCGTTGACCGGATACCGAATTCGTAATATTAATTACTCCTAAATATGATTTTTAAATATTTACATCCATATATGAAAAACATATTGCAAGAACTTTGGCAACTTTGGTAATTATTAATTTTCAACAGGAATGTTTTTTATAATATATTAATATAATTTGATTTAATAGTGTGAGTAATTACTTGACTTATTATTTAAAGGAAATTTAATCCGTCATCAAAACGACGTCGTTGCCTAATACAGCTCTATCCCCATAAATTGGTGACGCAGTGACACGTCCGAAACAGCAACCGTGACGTCGTATATTACATCACAGCCGTTGACGTTAGAATCGCCCCCCGCCCCCTCTCCACAGTACTATAACTACCCCCAAAGGCCCCAATTACACAACCGCTCTCTCTCTCTCTCTCTCTAATCACTTTCTCTCTCCTCACTTTCTCTCTCTTCGAAAACCTCACTCATCAATTCATCATGCAACAGGCGCTTCCATTTAGGGATTGGCTCACCACCGCCGGCAGCGGCGGAGGGGGTAGATCCGCGGCTGCCGCAGCGGCGAACGCCAATTCGGTTAGTGAATCGACGATCGGCGACGCAGGGAGCGCGAGGAAACTGGTGGCGGAGAATGCGGTGGTGGTTTTCGCGCGGCGAGGATGCTGCATGTGCCACGTGGTCCAGCTTCTGCTGCGCGGCCACGGCGTTAACCCGTCGATCGCCGACGTCGATGAGCAGAATGAAGCTGATTTAGCCGATGAATTGGCGAAAATTGCCGGCGACGGCTCCGCCGTGCCGCAGTTGCCGGCGGTGTTCGTCGGCGGCGAACTTTTTGGTGGACTGGAGGAAGTTATGGGCGCTCATATCTCCGGCGAATTGGTGCCTAGGTTAAGAGAAGCTAAAGCTTTGTGGCTTTGATTCAGTCTCTGGTTTTCCAGTTCTGTAGAATTTTGGTTTAGAAGGATCCTGAAATTAATATTAATTAATTAATTTTTTTTTCTGTTGTTTAGAATTTTCTTTTACTGTTTTGTATTTTCTAGAAATTGAAAAATGTTTTATTGAAAATACAAGGCAGAATAAAAAAGGTTGAAAAAATAATGTGGATCTGCCAAACTTGTTGAATCATTTTGTAAATATTATTCTTATCCCTTCAGTTGTAACTTTTTATCTTTTTATTAATTTCTATGACCTTATTTTATTATGGAAATTTGCCTTCTATGTATATCGGTAAATTGCGGTGATAATGTCAAATTACGAAAAAAGCGTATTATATTTGGATAATTATAATCACCGTCTCAACTATGAATTTCCTTGCCCGTTCATCCTGAAGTATTAAATTTAGTGGAATCTTCTAGATTATGTGGAATATTTTCTTGTTTGTTCTCGTTTTAGCTCATTCGAGCTCCACATTTTGAAACAAGATGATCATAAGATATGTCTCTTAGCTTGTAAATATTAGATTTTGGTGCATCGAAAACTGCATTTATGCACAAAACGAGTGCAATCTATAGAATATTCCACAAAATCTAGAAAATTCTGATGAATTTGACACCATAAAGGTAAACGTGTAAGAAGATTCATAGTTGAGGGCGTGATCGTAATTTCACCTTACTTCAAGGGTTTTTTATAATTGACCGTAATTTACCCAATATTAAACTACTTAAAAATCGTTATAGATGAATTTTACAAGAAAAAATACTTTTAGATCTTAATTAATGCTAATTTTGACAAATTAATTGGCTAATGATGTAATCATCACTTCTCTAATTTTGCCACTCTAGGCATGGAAAATTAATGTACGTGCCCAAAAAGTCACGGGTGTAATAACACATTTGATTGAGAAATTATTTCTCAACTGCCAATAGTGAATGCTATTAAATATTTAATAACGAATATTTAATATTTATAATTTCAATTATTCAGATTCAAACAATTTCAAGATTATATGGTTCACACAATAACAAGTTGCTTCATATATATGTGCCATGTTTTGCACCTGTAATTAAATGTACTTTTCAGTCCCTATTCTGCATAGTGGTCAATATTACTCGATCAAAAAATACATAATTTATCTAATCATTAAAATTGGAATATTTTAATTATATAAATAAAATAAATATTACGTAATTTACGCGTGGCAATTATTTTATTACAGTAATTTTGTATGTTGGGGTAGACAGTGTGACGTCAATTAAGGTAGTTATAGTGAAAACATTTCATAATCGAATTAAATCCACTCAGACCCACATCTCGTGGTTGACGTAAATTGCCGGATGGGCTTTTATTTTTATTTTTTTTATTATTTTTTTTTCTAAATAAAAAAAAATATAAGTAAGTTGCAGAATTATTTTATTATTGATCGGTGACCATTGATTAGTTCAAAATGGGGTATACCAAGATGATGATGATGATGATGACGTAATATGGCGGTGTTTGAGAAGTCAATTTTTTACATGGGATTTAAATAATTTGATTATATTTTCTCCAAAAAAACAAAAAATAATAATAATAAATAAAAATAATTGATTATGATGATGTGAAATGGCGGTGGGTACGAATCTCTCTTCACCATTCAATTTGTGTGGAAACTTTTTTTTACTTTTAGTGGAAAATTAGGTTTATATATTGTTTGTAGCATTTATGTATTAATAAATTAATTAATACTCATATTTAAAAAAAAATGTTTTTAATAAATTTAAATGTTCAAACTCTGATTTTAATATTTTTCTTTAAACTAATTAGATGCTACATATTGGTAAACTACAATATGAGTCTTGGATTTCTTTGACTAATCTATCTATATCTAAATAAAATAAATTAATTAATTAATGAATAAACCTTATAAATCAACCTTAATATATTTCCACATGAAGAAGCAACAAAAGTGCCTTCTTCATTGTAATAACCTATACATACATATAGTCTATATCTATCTATCCAAATCTATAAGTATTTTCCTCATTTGCCTTTGCTTGCATGCGAAGGCAAACGAATAAACGACGATCCATCTTCTCAACTAACAGCATCGATCGATCACGGCATTATTGTATAGACGAGATAAACGAAGTAGTACTATTACGATCATAGTACTCCACAAAACTCGCGTTTTTAATTATATTACTACTACTACTAATAACTATTGCATCTTTCGTGACGTTCGACGAACCGCCGCATTGCCGAGGCTGCGTTTGGTAGAACACTTTCGAGACGACTAATTCTCCCTCCTTTTCGTCTTCGTTATCGCCCAAGTGGTACTGGTGCATCACCCAATTTGTCTTCTCGGGTTTTCTTTGCCTCCCGTAGTTTGTGTAGAGTACGAGTATTTTTTTGTAGCCTTTGATAATATTATTATTTTTTTCGGATAATAATAATAATCCAGCTGTCGAAACGAATATTGGCCTAGTTTTGCCTGTCTTGTGCCACCTTGTTTCGCCTCCGTCTATGGTGTTGTCGCTGTTGACTTTTCTTCGTTTACGAGTCCCCGTCGTGTACGCCTTTGAGGGCCTATGGAAAAAATGTCGTACTTGTCCATCTTTTTTCACTCCTATATACGTATATACACGAGCAGAAATAATCATTTAAATCGAACACTACGCGTTCGGTACATCCTTAGACCTCGTTTGGTTGGTAAAATATATCACGATTAGTTGATTTATCGAGAAATTGTGTATTAGTTAGATTGACATACATAAGTAGCTAGGCGTCATAATAATTAGATTAAGCAATCTCTTAGTTACATTGACAAATAAATTATCCAAGTAAAGAAATTAAAAAAAAAATTGATTCATAAAACATATATACACCTGGTAGCTTTTCTGGATGAGTGTAGCAAATTCCATTTTCGCCCTCGATAGTCGGAATAAATTCGTCGATAAGAGGATGTAATTTCCGGGTATCGGAGAACACTTTGGCTTCTAGATGTTGAAGAATTTCTTGATCAGATGGATCAAATTTCACACCAGCAGGTAGTCCAGGCAAATCTTGAACTCCAGTCTAGTTAATTCATCAATATTAACATATTTATTATTCATCATCATTTAATTTTTTTCATACATATATTAATAATATGATTAGAGATGAAATAGTATATATAATAGTTATTGCATAATTATATGAAGATTGAACATGTACCTGATCTTGGAGCTTTACGGTGTGGCCGCACGAAGGGCAGATTACGGTCCTGATTCGATTATTGTTATTATGATCATCACACCATTTCATTTCTTCTAGAACTTTCTCCACCTAGATCTCCTCTCTGAAAATTAAACCTAGAGAAAATAAATTAACAAGCTAAGAGAAAAATCAAGAATTCTATCTTCAACTATTATATTACTTATATATATACATGCAAGAAAATTAAATAATGAATATTATATTAGTTGTGTAGAAAAAAACAACTAGGTTGCTTGGACGCAAAGTCTGGTTTTGTTCTATACATACACTATACATACACAATATATATACACAAGATCATATATATATATATATATATATATATATATATATGAATTAATTTGTACTGTGTGAAAGATGGTAACAAATTAAAATATGAGAAGTGATGTAAGAAGGAATTAACTTAGAGTGCAAATGGGGCAACAGTTATTCTTTATTTTTAGACATTTCACCTGTTTTAATTAATTTATAACTATATATACCTAAGAGCTTGTAGATCCAGTGTCAATTATATATATTCTAGAGTGTTCTAGAAGCTTTTTCTTTTGTGGAAAACACAATTTGCTATAGCAATATATACATATATGTACCAACTAATGTGATAGTAACAAATTAAACCACGGTTATAATATATATATATATATATATATATATATATATATATATATATATATATATATATATATATATATATATATATATATACCAAACAACATATGTATTGTTCTACTTGTGTATGTATCATGTATGTATTATTTCTTGGAGTACAATTCTTCTTGCAAGCAAGGCATATTGCTTCAATATGTACTCAATATATATAATACACCTATAAATTTGTTGTTTCTTTGTTGTGAATTAAGAATGAAGATAAATATTTTAACTACCATTTTACTTACTTAATAATCTTTTTTGGCTAAATTACAACCACCAAACTGTAATTAGAAAATGGTGTTAATGTAACAAAACTACAAATTGCAAGGTGGATGTAATGTAATTATGGAAAAATGAGGGGGTTTTCGTAAATAGACTTTACTTCAAGGGCGCGGTTGTAATTTACCCTAGCTTTCTAAGGTCACTTGATTTCGACGACACTACACTCTCTTTTGAAACTTGTTTTTCGTAATTTGATCTTAACTCACTGGGTGACCGTAATTTACTCTTAATTTTCATACATGACGTATAAGTTCGGTTGGATCTACAAAATAATGACGTCATTACCTATATTTATATTCTTCCATCAATTGGAAAAATGCAAAATTCATAATCATTTTATAGTTCACATTGAAAGTGTTTGTTTTCGAAGTTATTTGTGGCTTTAATTTGAAGCTTTTTTGGTTAGAAGCCAAAAAGAGGACTGGCTTTTTGAGAAGCTATTATGCGTCATGTGGCTTTTGTGCATGGAAATTGCATGACAATCTGGATAACTACCAATAATTTTTGTTTTCATTAGAATAAATATTATTAAGAAAATAAATGAAATTAATAAAATGCACATTATTTAGAGTTTAAAATATTTAATTTTACAAAATTAATTATATTTATGAATTTTGATTATACTTGCATGAGATCATGAGGGCCACAATTTGGTGGGGATGGACAATTGGGAGACCCGAAACCGACCCATAATTTGGAGCGTTCGGTTTCGGGTCCGGGTCGGGTTCGAATAGTTGTAAACAAAACATTGAAATTACATGTGAATGACAAAAAAGATGGAAAAAATACGTGTAATGAATCGATCACACCACACTTTCTTGATCGTTAGAAGCATCTTCGTAGTAATAAGGCGTTAGTTTACCGTCTTTGTCGACATTTTTCACCTCGTTTATACCGGCTATTTCTTGCATCATCTTCACAACTCGTCTCATAGAAGGCCGATTAATCGGGAGTGCGCTGGTGCACAGTAAGCCTACGTTGAGGGCTCGGCATATTTCATCCTTGAAACAATAATCGAGTTTTGGATCAATCACACTCTCTAATCCCTCCTTATCCAATGTCGAAAACACCCATTTCACCAAATCCTTCGTCTCGCCAAACTCCGGATCCACCGGAAGTTTCCCACTAATCAGCTCGAGAATCACTACACCGAAACTGTATATATCACTCTTTTCGTTCACCCGAAGCGTGTAAGCATATTCTGCGATTTAATAAAAATAAGTAAATAAAAATGTAATTTTGCAATCAAGAATTTCGTATTTTTTAGTAAATAGAATATTTTTTTCGAGAACCTAACCTGGCGCGATGCAGCCGCAAAGACCCTGCAATAAAGGACATGGATTTCGAATCGACCATCTTTGCTAAACCGAAATCCGCAATTCTTGCCCCGAATTCGGAATCCAATAATATGTTATTCGATTTCACATCTCTATGAACAATCGGAGGGTCACAATCATGGTGCAAGTACGATAGCCCCTCAGCAGCATCCATTGCTATCTTGAGCCTCATCGGCCAATCCAATAAACCCCTTTTCGTACCGTGAAGAAAATCGCCTAAACTACCATTAGGCATGTACTCGTAAACCAAAAGCTTAGAATCCCTTTTAGTACAAGAACACCACAATTTTACGATATTCTTGTGCCTAATCTTCCCCAACGTCTCGACCTCAGCATCAAAATTACCGCCGTTACCCTTAGCTTGTCCGGAAATTCCGATTTCTCCCATAGCTTTTTGACAGCAACGGCCAAATTACCATGACTCAAAACAACCTTGTAAACCTTACCCGACGACCCACTTCCGATCACATTATCTTCATCGAGAGCATCCATTATTTCGCTCTCGTTGAATCCCAATTTGTGGAATGACGTTATCGTCCACTTCGATTGATCGTTGGTCTTTTTGATTTTCTTGATTTTCTCGAACTTGAAGTACAACCCGATTATGCCGAGTAAAAGTACTAATCCACAAAGCACGAAAATTGATTTCAAGAACCAAATGTACCCCATTTTCTTGATTTCCCTTCTCCCATTAGATAAACCTGGATTTCCCAAGAAGCTGTCTTTGTACAAACCCTTTCGAATACAAGGGCGGAATATCGCCGGTGAGATTGTTATACGATAAATTCAGCTGATTGAGCTTCAAATTCTGAATCCCGATTGGGATTTTACCCGAGAATCGATTTTCCGATAAATCGAGATAATTTAGAACAGGTAAATCCCCAATTTCGTTCGGAATTTCGCCTGAAAAGTAATTATTCGCTAAATTCAGCTCGTTTAGCTTCTTCCAAGAATGAATTCCGTTCGGAACTCCACCGGAAAACGCGTTGTGATGAAGATCAAGCTTTACTAGTTGCCCTAGATTCACTATACTACCAGGTAAAAAACCAGAAAAATTATTGTTATTACCTGAAAACTCCAATAAACTGTTCAGAAACCCTATCTCCGGCGGCAGAGCGCCGGAAAAATTGTTGCCGGACAAAATCAATTGAGATAAATTGGACGCGCCGGCAATGGTTTTTGCGATTCCACCGGAAAATGAATTGCCAGCTAGCTCAAGTAATGACACGCGAGGGAGTCCCCAAAATCCCGCCGGCAATTCACCGGAGAATCTGTTGTGCCCTAACCTCACTCGCAACAAGCTCCGGCATTCACCTAGACTCGCCGGAATTTCGCCGGAGAACGAATTTTCGATCAGTAACAGCTCCTCTAGAGCTCCATTGGAACACAGATTCTCCGGTATTTGGCCGGAGAAGTTGTTTGTCGAAACATCAATCCACTGCAACGGCGAGTTCTTACCGAGATCCGGCGGTAAATTCCCCGATAACTGATTCCGGAAAAGCTTTAACTCGTACAAATTCGGAGAATTGGCAACGCCGGCGGGTAATTCACCCCCCAAATTATTCTCGTACAGATTGAGCGACTCGAGCGGCAACTCACACAACTCGGCCGGGATCGGCCCGGTCAATCGGTTCGTGGACGCGTCGAACCGCCGCAATGACGTCATATTCAACCACCCGTTCTCCGGCAGTTGACCGGTCAACGAGTTATTGTACATCTCCAGCTGAACCGCACCAGTCAACCCAGTGAGCGAGCTCGGAATTTGACCGGTCAACGAGTTGTACGCCACGTCCAAATCAGTGAGTCTGCCGAGCCGACCCAACGAGTCAGGGATTTCACCAACTAAATTAGTCTCCGTCAGCCACAAAACCTCGAGTTTGGTGAGATTACCGAGCTCCGGCGGGATCCGACCCGGGTAAAACGGGTTGTAAGAGAGATTCAACTGCTTCAACGTCGAAATATTCCCGAGAAAAGACGGAATTGCCCCTCCCAGCAAATTCTCCACCAATGAAAGCACTTCGAGTTTCCGGAAAGCTCCGTAATTATCGGGGATGTCACCGGAAAAGTTGTTCCCGGTCAAATCAAGGTACTTCAAGTTCGGGAGATCCGCTAGTGTGCGGGGGAGAACACCGGTTAGGTAATTTTGCGCCAAATCAAGGTGCTCCAGTTCGCGACACGTGGCGAGGGCTTCTTCGGTGAGGGTGGAGTTGACGAGGTTGTCGTAGAGAGAAATGTAGGAAATGCTTTTGAGGCGGCATAGGATGGAAGGGAAGGGGCCGGAGAGGCTGGAGCTGGAGAGGTCGAGGGAGATGACGGAGGCGGAGGCGGAGTTGGAGTCGGAGTCGCAAACGACGCCGTTCCATTTGCATGGGGTCTCGTCGCGTGGGTCCCAGTCGGAGAGGACCCCGTTTGGGTCGTCGAACCCGAGCTTGGCTATCTGGAGGTATAATCCTTCTTTGTTGATGCAACCAATATGATGAGGAGAAATGAGAACGATGAGTAGGAGCATTAGACGGAGACGAAGGTCGAGCATTTTTCTAATGCTGTGGTGGACGGTAATATTACTTGCTTTAATTATTTAAATCCATATATATATATATATATATAGATGGAAGAATTGTGTGTCCTTGAAGTTAGACAAGTGAACAGATGTGATAATAACGATGAACTGAAAAAGCAAGAACACATTTGATTTGATGAAAGGCAGGTATAATTAATGTTTGTAGATTTTAGTGAATGTTTGGAGAATTTAATGATGTCGGATCTCAGATAGTACTACTGCTGCTTTAACATGAATTAATTACTGTGGCTATGAAAGCTGATATTCAGCCTTGTCTAAAGTGGGCCCATCTTTAACAAAGTACTATATTTTATTAAGGAAGTCCCATTATTGTTGGTTAAATTTACGAAAAGGCCCCTTTCTTTTGGATTATTAAGATTATCCATTCAGTATAAATTTTTTTACACGTCTATTTTAACGTTTTACGATGTCAAAATTAGTGGAATCTTGTAGATTATGTTGAATCAAGTTTGTACACGTTTTACCCCATTAGAACTCCACATTTTGATTTGAAACAAGATGATCATAAGATGTGTTCTCGACTTGTAAATATCAGATTGTGTTGCATCAGGAACTGCATTTTTGCAAAAAAAACGAGCAGTACAAGCTAGAGAACATTCTACTGAATCTAGAAGATGATGTTGGATTTAACATCATATGGGTGAATGTGTAAGAAAATTCATAATTGATGAGTAATTTGTAATTATCCAAATATAAAAGTTTTTTTATAATTTAATTTTACTGCAGGAGATTTACCCAAATAAATACTTATAAGAGATATCATTTGCTGTTATTGTCTTTTAGACCTGACTCTATGACCAGACATAGTAATTGAAGACATAGTTAATATGTGGTAATAATAGTTTCTTGCTGTCTCATTACTGCATGCTGGGAAGTTGACCAAATCAACAGAGTCAACATATAGTTAAATCAAGGCACAAAATTAGTGAATAAAAATCCTTTGGTTTTATAGCTTTGCTTTGATTTTACTCAATCATGATTGCATCTCATAATCATTTATTTACCATGCCCAAACACTGATTAATACACCTGCTAAATATTTCCTACTAATAATACATCATTGTCGTGTAAAATAAATTAATTAATATTTGCAACATATATAACGTCACAGAAAAATCAGAATTTTAATCTCAAGGGTAATTTTGTAATTCATTATTATTTTTATAATTTAATTAAAGAAATCTTTTCTTAAGCCAACTTGAAGCCACTAGTGATCCATTAAAAAAGGACTAAAGCGGCCACATTCTAACTTAATCCAATGATGATTAGTCCTAATTACATGTTAGTTAGATGCTAATTAGTATTTCAAGATTGGAAGATCTTTGTGGGACCCAATTATTAGCTCTTTTGTAAACTCTTATGCAAATAGCAAACTTTTATATCTTTTTATATATAAAAGTAAGAAACGATAGTTCAATCTAAAAAGCTCTAACGGTATATTCGTGATATTTTTAATTAATTATAAGTATTCTTTTCTTCTTCTATTCCATATCTTTTGTTTTTTTTAATGGGTTTCGTAGCAAATCAAATTTGCCAATTCGCCAGTAAAATCCTAATTTGTTTGCATAGTTTGTTCTTTTAACTCCTTCTCTTTCTTACACACCGATTATAATTTGTTTTAATACAATTTAATTATCATATATTTAAATTTTCAGAGCAAAAAAAACCCAATGTACGAGATTTATAACGATTAAAAGAAAAGGATAAGAGTTTTTAAATAGCAAGTACATAAATTGTTTCAAAAAGATAGCCACTTTCATCATTGTCATCTTATCCTTCAACCAACTTCCTACCCATCCCACCACCTTCACTTTTAATTACATTTATTGCAGATTTGTTAACTATAAATTACATACTTTATATTTTTAAATGTGATCTTTTTTCATTAATAATAATAATTTATGAGTATATATATATATATATATATTATTATCAAGAAGTTAAAAAAATAAAATTTAATATTTCTTGGTGGCATGGAGTCCAATTGAGGGTCACGTGGAACAGTGAGGACGAATCAATCAGCTTTCATTTCTTAATCGTTTACCTAATACCTCACTTTAATCCCAAAGCATCTCTCATTAAGGCAATAATCATGGGGCTAATTATTGTATCATGTTAGTCAACTTATAATAATCATGCAATTAAATCAATCACCCAATCTCCTATTTGCAGCCAAATTAATTCAAAATAAAAACAATGATATGGACTACGTCGCGCATATGGGCCTCGTGTATAATGACAATATAAATCACTCGTAAAAACTCAGAAAGGGCAGTCCAGTGAAGCCCAAAGCGGTAGGCTCAAGCCTCTTAAGAGCATGAGGAACCGTAAATGATGATGTCATGGTATATTCCTGTTACGATTACGTCGCGCAGCAACACGAGGTGAAGACACAGAACTCTAGAACCTATGGTATGACCTCGAATTGGGGATTTGAACGACGAGATAACACTCGTTTAACATAGCCCATTAAATGCGGTCGGACGTTGCAGGAACGTTGTCCAACCGAGATTCTGACGGGAGATAAAGACCAACGCAAGCAAGTCTAGACCGACATCATCACACCGACAATCGAAACTCGATCAAACCGATTGATTTTCAAAATGTCACTTGTCAACAAAAGTAATTTTTTGGGCCTACAATTTCCGAATTGGATTGGGTGTCTAAATATTTAACTCATTTTAGTGGCCCAATTTATGTTATCGAGTAAGACTGAGGCCCATGTCTAAAGTTCATTCCTACCAAATTGGGCCTTGGACTATTTCGTAAAAAGTACGAGTTCAAATCGCAAATCGGAATTTATGAAGACAAAAAATCGCTCCAAAAATCGGAATTTTTCTGATCGAAATTGACCGAATTCGGAAAATTCCAATTTTTTGCAACATGAAATACGTAATACTTTTGATATTTTTAGTGTAACTTTAGGAAAACAAATTCGGAATTTCTGAAAATTTAAAATCAAACCGAAAATTGGAATAATCCAATTCCAATCCAAAAAAAAAAATCGAAAATCTGAAACTGCATTTCATTTTCCACCCCTACTGAAATGAAAATAAGATTCTAAATTTGTAGAAGTTAGAACATAGTGAAATAAAATAATGGAATATCCCTCATCTAAAACATTATTGGTACAAGACAAGGAAAACTAAATAAATAAATAAATATAGATACCTAAATAAATAGGAAAGATATTTGAGGAAAAAAAATGATAAGGATGTAGAGGAATTGGATTGCAGGCATTGGACAAGACAAGTTCTTCCTCACAGACCTCTCAATTGAATCCTGATCATGGATAAGATAAGACTACCTTGCCCCACTTCTGATTTCTTGATCTAATAATTCCCAATTCCACTTCATTTTGCCTATCCCAATTTTGATTTACTATCCCAATTTTCTTTTCATTTAATCCATTTTATTTTATTTTATAAATGCACCTCACATACATTTAATTTACAAAACAAGAAAACTTGCAGGATTTTTTTTTTATATATTATTTTAATCTAAATCAAATTTCAGAAATTATAAAATACAAAATTGCAGAAAAAAAAAAAAACGTTGTGTAATTTAGACAGTAAATTTAAATAATCTTATTTTTATATTGAAGTGATTATATAGAGATAATGCAGAAAAATTAAAAAAGTGTAATTACTTAATCAATGAACTTTTGATTGTAATTACATGTATGGCCTCTAATTTATCGAAAAATAACATTCAATATATCAAAAAACATAAGACACAAAAGAAAAAAATAATACCAAAAAATACATATTATCCCATTTATCTAAAAGAAAATAATAATAATAAAAAAAAAAAAAAAAAAAAAAATCCCGCGAAGCACAATATCCGTGAGAAGATTAAAAATCCAATTCAATGTGGACCGCTCATTTCATCACCTCATAAAAACCACTTAAAAACAGTCCTCCCATTTCCCGTGCAAGTTAACCTTTCCGGCGCACGTTAATTCCTCTGCATAGGAACACCGGAGTACTCACTGCTCACTCTCTTCTCTCTCTCTCCACCACTTCTCTTCTCCCCTCCCCAAAATTCCGGCAATGGAGTCTCGCGTTCTCACCGGCGCCACCATCCGCGGCCTCTCACTCCCCTCGAAGCCCGCGGCGAGGCTCGCCGGAAACAGCAGCTTCCCCACGGTGAGGCTCACCGGAAAACTCAGCGACGGCGGGAACCTGATATGCGGAAGGCAGCTCCGCCCCGCGATCCTCCTGGAAGCTTCTCCCGTGGCGACCGCATTTTGTTCTCCGGTGAAGAAGAGGGACAACCTCCGCCCTTGCCTCGCCGCCGCTTCTTCGCCGGCCGGCAGTAGCGATTCCTCCGGGTGAGGTCCGTTTTCATGATATCCGATCGGTCACTCGACCCGTTTTCGAAACCCTTACCCGTTTTCTCTTGTTTCCGCAGGGGCGCCAAAGTCGGGTTCCTCGAGAAATACCCTGCCCTCGTCACCGGGTTCTTCTTCTTCATGTGGTACGTTTCATTTCATCACACTACATAGAGAGAGAGAGAGAAGCTTACTTGAAATTACTTATTTACCCCTGCTGTTTGCAGGTATTTTCTCAACGTGATTTTCAACATCCTCAACAAGAAGATCTACAATTACTTCCCTTATCCCTAGTAAGCAAGCAATCAATCAATCAAACCCTCAATACTAATTAATTAATTCTGCATAATTAACTATTAATCCAAAACAATTAATTAAATCTGTTAATTGTGTCTGTGCAGTTTCGTATCGGTCATACATTTGTTTGTTGGTGTTGTCTACTGCTTGCTGAGCTGGTCCGTCAGCCTCCCGAAACGAGCCGTAAGTTTTTTTTCCGAACCGCAATTTAAATAATCAATTTATCGATTTGTTGCACCAATAATGCAATCGTTCCGATAACGACATTTGTACGATGAGTTAGTGAATATGCCACATTTCATATATATATATATATATGCAAATTTCGAGTGAATACGTTGATCCAATAATTTAATTCCGACATTTATTTGTTCTGTTTTTAGCCGATTGATTCGAACCTGTTGAAGCTGTTGATCCCGGTGGCTGCTTGCCATGCTTTGGGCCACGTAACTAGCAACGTTTCGTTTGCTGCAGTTGCAGTCTCGTTCACTCACACCATCAAAGGTGGATATATTTTTATTTTTTCATATGATTTAGGAATAATCATTTTCATTAAAAAATGCTCTAATTTTTTTTTTTTTTGTATATCTGATCAGCACTCGAGCCTTTCTTCAACGCTGCGGCTTCACAATTCGTTCTCGGACAGTCGATTCCGATAACTCTATGGCTGTCATTGGCTCCAGTTGTCATCGGTAATCTCTCACATTCCCATTCCCAATTTAATTTTACTTTGCTTCTTTCATATCATATCTTAATTCTTAAATCAATAAAAACCAATATAGAGGTGGTGTTTGCAAAAGCTTATAAAAATCGATTATGAGCCTTTTTCTGCATATAATTTATTTTTAGTTGTTTGCAAAACAAGCTTTTGCTTCTTTTAAAATAAGCTGCTATTTTTAGTTGTTTGCAAAACAAGCTTTTGCTTCTCTTAAATAAGTTGCTTTAAGCTGTAATTTTAAAAGCACCCATGTGCCTGCTTTTTCTGTTGTAGACTTTTAGTTGATTTTCCAACTAATTCGCAAATACCCCAACTTTTAGAAATAAACACTTAATTCCAACTCAACTCACAATCACTAACTTCTACTTTTAAATAAACTTTTGCAAACACCACCAGAGTAGAGTTTCCGAAGGTTTTCTCAAATTTTCTTGGAATCTTTTTATTAAATCAATAAAAATCAATTTAGCTTAGAGTTTCATAAGAGTTTCTCGAATATTTTCTTGTTTTTTTTTTTTTGTTTTTTTAAATTGGTATAATTTTCTTGGATAATGACTATTGAGTTCCACGATCCGTAACTAGACAACAATTTTTTCGAATTTTTTTAACGGTTAAAATCCGAGTACAGGTGTGTCGATGGCATCGTTAACCGAGCTGTCGTTCAATTGGCTGGGATTCGTCAGCGCTATGATTTCCAACATCTCGTTCACTTACAGGAGCATATATTCCAAGAAAGCTATGGTTAAGTGATTGCTAATTTTTATTTTTCTCGATATTTGCCGTATTGAAATAATGTTCGTGCTATTACTTACTAAGCGAATGCTTTTTCTCTGCAGACTGATATGGACAGCACCAACTTGTATGCTTACATTTCGATTATCGCTCTCATCGTCTGTATTCCTCCTGCCTTAATTGTGAGTTCCTAGTTTCAATCCTCCCTCAAGTTCGTTTTCTACAGTTTCTACTTTTTTCTTCTTACTTAATTTTTTTTTAATTTAATTTAATTTAATTTATAATTATTAATTACACAGATTGAAGGGCCTCAACTATTGAAATATGGGTTTAGTGATGCAATTGCTAAAGTGGGCTTAACAAAGTTCATCACTGATCTTTTCTGGGTTGGAATGTTTTACCATCTCTACAATCAGGTACTTAAATCTAACGTGCCCGATTAAAAAATTAATTACGAAATTAAAAAGCTAATTATTAATTAATTCTTCATTTGTTCTTAGCTTGCAACGAACACACTCGAGAGAGTGGCCCCACTCACCCATGCTGTTGGAAATGTGTTGAAGCGTGTCTTTGTCATCGGCTTCTCAATCTTGGCCTTCGGTAAATATATATTTTATCGACGATTTTTTTTTAATGTTTTTAATTTGGATGTTTATTTATTAATGATGTAATTAGAGGTTTAATTGATTTGATTTAAACTTTTGCAGGTAATAAGATCTCGTTGCAAACTGGTATCGGTACTTCCATTGCAATATTTGGAGTTGCAATGTACTCCTTCATCAAGGCTCGGTTGGAAGAAGAGAAACGAGTAAGCACAAACATTTGCACTTAAATCTAATTCGGTTATATAATTTTCTTTAAATAGTTTAATTGGAAAATAATCAGTAAATTAATTTCATCGTTTTTTTATTTACGACACGACAGCAAGGAAAAGCAGCTTGAGTACTGATGCTCTGCTGGGAGAAGAAGTATTATGAGTTCTAAATGCGACCATTCCTCGTTTATGTAATAAGTTCTTTCGATATTCAATTTCTTTTTAATTTAAATTTCTGATTTATGTACGTCCTTTCCTTCGTTCGATTCGAGATGACTGTAATAATTCGCGATTTCCTCATGCGGTCGACATTTTGATCGGATTAATTTCGAGGGTCGAAGTTGTGAATAGTGTCATTTTCTGTGGGAACAAATCTGTTACAAATTTCCTTGCATCATGCCATTGTTTACTTTCTTGTCGGGTATTTCTGCTTCGTTTGCTCGACTATAAAATATAAAATATATAATCTAATTTGGTTTATTCGACATGTTCATCAATCGTCGTTTATTCTATGATACATCGAGTAAAGTACACGAATGTATTATTATGGTTTATTTACACATAAAAATTGTCATTTGTCAGGCATTCAAATTATTAGGTAAGATTAAATTATGGAAAACCCCATCATGTTTGGGTAATTACAACCACCCCTGAACTGTAAAATCTTCTTACAGGTTCATCATAGCGTCGTCAAATTTAGTGGAAACTTTTAGATTATGTTGAATATTCTTGGCTTTGTACCCGTTTTACCTCATTCGAACTCCACATTTTAAAACAAGATGATCGTAAAATATGTCCATTGGCTTGTAAATATCAAATTGTGGTGAATCATAAACTGTATTTTTGCAGAAAACGAGTACAAGCTAGAGAACATTCCACGGAATCTAGAAGATTCTATTTAATTCGACACCATAAGGGTGAACATGTAAGAAAATTCATAGTTGAGAGGGTAATTGTAATTATCCAAACATAAGGGGCTTTTTCGTAATTTACCCTAACTTAAATGAAATACTAAAATATGATTAAACCAAAAAATAGCGGGATCAGTTTATATATAAACAATAAAAGAGAAAAATAAAATAAATTCATACGCAAAACACAAAGTCTCAAGTCAAATCAAGATTAAATTTTTATATTTTGCCCCAAGGCTTTTGTTTGTTGTTTGGTTTGATTTAAAGGAACAAAAAAAAAAAAAAGAAAAAGAAAAATCTAAACATGGAATTTGATCGCGCGATAGATTACTCCAATCACAAATACTACAGTTGTTTTCGTGTTGATAATTTCATCGCTGCTTTATTCTTGTTAATTCAGCCCTGGATCTCAATTTTCCCCTTTATTCCTCTTTCCCCAATTATTTTTTCACGTCCGCATTTGCAATCGCACCCTTATTTACAAATTAATTTTATTGGTATATGTACATCACTCGCGCGTCAAATTCCTCTCATTTGTTGTGTTTTTCGATAACGTCGTTATCTCGAAACAATTTTTTGGGGGAATTTTTGGGCTGCTAGGGTTTGTGGGCAGCCGATTGATCTGTAATGGAGGCGGGTTCTGAAGAAGAAAATAATATGAACATGGACCAGATACCGCCACCGGCGGCGGCGGCGGCGGCCTCTAAGAGGCCTAAGCGTCAGATGAAGACGCCCTTTCAATTGGAAGTGCTTGAGAAAGCCTATGCAAGTATGTGTTTCTCTTCTTATATCTAATGAAATTGTTATGTATCTGTTTGTTTGTTGGTGAGTTTTTGTTCTCTTCCTGAAATCTGGATAATGGGCTGTGTTGGGTGTTTTATGAAATTTTGGTCTTGTGTTTGATTTATCGAAGAGATTTGTATGTTGCTTTGTTGATGGCAATTTTTGCTCACTTTGTAATTCATAGTTATGGGTGTAATTTGATCAAGTTAAACACTGTTATTAGTTTTCATGATGTTGGAGTGCGTGTTTGTGTGCCAAGAACCATTTGGCTTTTGCGTAGAGATTTTGTTGGTTTTTTGCATCGGAGTGTTTATCTTTGAGTGACGGCATTTTGATTTGTTGTGGTTCTTTTTATGCAGCCGATATGTATCCATCGGAGGCGGCTCGTGCAGTTCTGTCAAAGAAATTAGATCTAACGGACCGGCAGTTGCAGATGTGGTTTTGCCATCGAAGATTGAAGAATAAGAAGGATTCCGTAGGCATGGCAGCCACAAAACCTGACACAGCTGGCTCGGTTCAGAGGACAGGTGTCAATCACTCATCCAGAGAGGAATTGATGGCTTCTGATCCTGGCAGCAGACATGGCTCTGATTCTAGGTCTGGCAAGCAAGACTCTGGCTCGGGATCAGGATCGGATTCTGGTTCCAGCCAGTTCAATAATGGAGACGGTATGCCAACAAGGTATTTTGAGTCACATGGAACAGTCATGGCGCGTAGGGTGATAGCTCGTATGGAGGCTCAGTTGGGAGAGCCATTAAGGGAGGATGGACCAATTCTTGGGGTGGAGTTTGATGAACTACCCCCTGGTGCATTTGGTGAACCTACAGGTAGGTACATACTATTCTCGAGTTGTATCTGATATTTGGGTTTTAACTTTTAAAAGTATTCAGTAGTTGCTTAATCGTGAGTTAAATAATGGGGCAGGTCTAGAGTGTGATTCAATCCAAATATATTGCAGAGTCCATTAGTGTATGGTATTATGGTAAAGTATCGATTTAATCGCAGTGCGGAGTCCGTTAATGGTATCATTTGGCATGAAAGTTAGATAAGATCCTCCGTATGTCTCTGTACACTACAGTTGCCTAATGGACTGTTGATGTGCTTAGGCATGATTGTTTTAGGATGGTTTCTCTTTTTTTCTCAAATAAACTTAAAAAAACCGAAAATTAAATGATGAGGAAATATTTTTTCATGTGAAACCTAAATTTTCTAAAGCACTGCAATTTGGCAAAAGAGATAAATGCTAGTCAACTAAAATGGTTTTCTGCTGTTTCCAGATTTGCGTCTCGAGGGTCTTGTAGTTCCGTCTTTTCTTTCTCCAGTTGTTTTTTAATGGACCACTGACATTTTCCATTATTACCTATGAAACAGTGCGGATAGAGGAGAAGGACAGATACAAACATTCTTATGATCGCAATTTATATGGACAATCGGATGTGAAGCATATGAAAGTGGGTTCTCTATCTTTTACATGTGAATTTATATTTTATATTGTAATTTGTGGACTCGGCATACAAATGGTGATTGTGGGTTAGATAGCAAATTTTAGATGATCTGAATTTCTTTCTCCAGGAAAATTCTGTTTTTCATTATGAAAGTTGTATGATGATTATTCTATATGGTTTTTGGGATATAGAACACACAATATAAGAATATTTAAGTGTATTCATTGGCTAAAGGACACTGTTATGTTTAAGTTTTCTTGGGTCAGTCTCGCCTAAGAAAAGTTCACTACCCCCACTCCCCAATAACTAAATGCAAGATTACTGTAAAAATAATCTCTGAATGGATATATTGTAATCATTTTTTCCCACTTCATAGCAGACTGACAACATTTATCTCAATCAAATATTAAAAGAATTGAACTTAAATTGTTTTGACTCTCAGGCTGCATATGATGGCCCTTCTGCAAAAACAATGTCTATTATGCGTGGAAATGGGCATGTTCCCAGGGGATATGGTGCTGAGAATCAGGTGTCAAGCATGGATATAGTGTCTCAGTCTGGTAGACATGTCCAGCCTTCTTCATCTCCAAGGAATATGAACCTTATGACAAACCACGAAGACAATCTGCATTTAGAGAGGAAAAGAAAGGTACTTTCCGAATAGTGAATTTTGTAGTTCAAGATTCTTAGTATATGTCTGCTGCAATTTCATTGTTGTCTCATCTTGTAGAGCGATGAAGTTGGAATGGGAAGAGAGGTCCAAGCCCATGAAAAGAAGAATCGAAAAGAACTTGAGAAGCAAGATGTTTTAAGGCGAAAGGTTTGGACGTTGGACATTGTTGTTTTATATTTGAGGGACCTTGAGTTGGTGTTTGCAAATGATTATTTAAAAGCAGAAGTTAGTGATTGTGAGTTAAGTCAGTTTTAAGTGCTTATTTCTAAAAGTTGGGGGTGTTTGCAATTATTCCGGAAAATGAACTTAAATAGAAAAAGTAGGATTAGGGGTGCTTTTAAAAAAATAGCTTAAAACAGATTATTTTAAGAGAAGCAAAGACAAAAGTTGATTTTGCAAACACCTGAAAACAGATTATGATTAAAAAAAAGCTCATAATCACTTTCAAAAAGCTTTTGCAAACACCACCTAACTATCTTTGTTGGAAACTGCTTATATTAGGTGAGTTAAAAGATACACTTTGTTTAATCTGACATTCTCATGGCCATTTTCTTTCCCTCAGAAGGAGGAGCAGATGAAGAAAGAGATAGAGAGGCAAGACCGTGAAAGACGAAAGGAAGAACAGCGGATAATGCGGGAACAGCAGAGGCAGGAAGAGAAATTTCAGCGTGAAGAAAAACGTGAAATGGAACGTAGGGAGAAATTTATGCAGAAGGAGCTTTTACTCGTATGATCAAACCCATATCATCTCTTGTGACTTCATATTAACTATTTACTTACTAATGCAATTCTGTTTAACTTTCCATGTCTGCACTTTCCAGGCTGAGAGGAAGAAACAGAAAGAAGAGCGTTGCAAAGAGAAGGAAGCAGCAAGACAGAAAATTGCTGCGGAGAGAGCAGCAGCCCGAAGAATCGCTAAAGAGTCTATGGAGCTAATGGAGGATGAGCGTCTGGAACTAATGGAATTGGCTGCTTCAAGCAAGGGATTGCCTTCGATTTTGTCTCTTGATTACGACACTTTGCAAAATCTCGATTCCTTCCGAGGTTGGTGTTGCTTGCTATGACCGAATGTAAACGAGCTTTATCTCCACCATAGATGTTTTTTAAATTGAAATTTAATCTGATGTTGGATGTTAGACCGGTGAATTAACTGCATATTACTGCCCAAATGTTGGATATTGAACAAGCACCAACAAAATCTTCCTTGCATGTTACCTCTTTCCTCAAATCCTTTCTATATACAAGTTTATCCTGTGTTTGTGATTTTCTATTTGTCCGAGACCTTAAAATGTATAACTTGTCCCTTATATCAAGTGCTTCCATTCATTTCTGCTACTTTATTCACAAATAAAATTCTGAGTGAACTTTCTGTGATTCAGACGCTTTATGTGTATTCCCACCGAAGTCTGTGCAATTGAAAACTCCTTTCGCTATTCAACCGTGGATTGATTCGGAGGAAAATGTTGGCAACCTCCTGATGGTATGCATTTTATATTTTTTCTTAGTTTTCTCCCCGTTCTACTTTTATTACCTGTTTTTTCGTCAAGGAATAAGAGTTTGTTCTGTCAGCAATTGCTATGTTCTTCGTAAGTTCTGAAATGATGATTGTGCTTTCAGGTTTGGAAATTCTGTATCACTTTTGCTGATGTTCTTGGGCTTTGGCCTTTTACCCTTGATGAATTTGTACAAGCTTTTCACGACTACGTAAGTTTTTAGGATGCCTTTATTTTTTAATCTTTACCTTTTCCCTATGCTCTTCTTTTCTTTTAAAAGGATTATGAATAATTTCATGCTTCCTTTCACATTTTAACAGGATTCAAGGCTGCTTGGTGAGATACATATTGCTCTTATAAAAGTAATTATAAAAGATATTGAAGATGTTGCAAGGATGCCTTCTGGTGGACCAGGTACCAATCAGTATAATGCTGTTAATACCGAAGGTGGACATCCTCATATCGTTGAAGGGGTAATTAATTATGCTCAATTATGTTACATACTTTTGCTTTGCATATATATGGTCTCTTTTGCTGGACTTATGTTTATATCCTATTATTATCGCAGGCATATTTATGGGGTTTTGACATCCATAGCTGGCAGAAACATTTAAATCCATTGACGTGGCCTGAAATATTAAGGCAATTTTCACTCGCTGCCGGATTTGGACCACAGCTAAAGAAAAAAGGCATTTATCGAGTTGGTGCAAATGAAAATGACGAGGTACCTTTTTTCACTTCTTTGCGCTTATAGCCTTTACCATTCCAAAAGAGTGTTGGATGATAAGTTGATAATCATTTCATTGTGATAACAACACTTTTTATATTTCAGAGTAAAGGTTGTGAAGACATTGTATCCACTCTGCGAAATGGTTCAGCAGCTGAAAATGCAGTTGCAATTATGCGAGAAAAAGGAGTCTCCTTCCAACGCAGATCAAGGCACCGGTTGACTCCTGGAACTGTTAAATTTGCTGCATATCACGTTCTTGCTCTTGAAGGAAGCAAAGGGCTAAATGTTATTGAGCTCGCAGAGAAGATTCAGGTAACTGATAGCTACGGTTTTGTAATGTAGTCTATATTAATTTTTTCTCGTATCTAATTTGCTCTTCTTGTAGAAATCTGGGCTTCGTGATTTTACTACAAGCAAGACCCCAGAGGCTTCTATATCTGTTGCCTTGTCAAGGGATCCAATACTTTTTGAAAGAATTGCTCCGTCTACATATTGTGTACGCCCGGCTTTTAGAAAGGATCCAGCTGACACTGAATCAGTAATTGCTGAAGCAAAAGAGAAGATAAGGAAATATGCCAATGGTTTTCTAGCTGGTCAAAATGCAGATGAGGAAGAAAGAGACGACGATTCAGATGGTGATGTTACTGAAGCTGTGGAAGCTGATGTTTTAGCAACTCCATCTGATGCAAACAAAAATAATGAAAGCAATGAAGTTGGCTCCTGTTCTGTGAATGACAAGGACAAAATTGCTGATGGCACTCCTCTGCAAGAAGGAACTATAAGAATAGGTAAGAAATTTGACATGTTTTTCTTGCGTGTTTTATTCTGGAAAATTGAGACCTGTTAATGATCGATAAATTTAATTGATGTTGTTTCTGTAGATGTGGAGGGTAGTCCTGATCAAGATGTTGAGATTGATGTAAGGAAATCTGGTGAATCTTGGGTCCAAGGACTCAGTGAAGGAGAATATTCCGATCTATCTGTTGAGGAGCGTTTGAAAGCCCTTGTCGCCTTAACCGGTATTGCTAATGAAGGAAACTCGATCCGCGTAAATTTAGAGGTCTGATTTTCTGATTATTGTGGGTAGTTGAAAATTGAAATTTAGAGCTTCTAGTCTTCTTCTACTTTTTAACAACTGAAGTTATTGCAGGATCGGCAGGGTGCTGCAAGTGCTCTTAAAAAGCAGATGTGGGCAGAGGCACAACTAGATAAAAGGCGAATGACAGAAGAGATTAATACTAGATTGTATAATTCATCTTTCAACGCTGTTCTTGAGGGTGGTCTCAGTCCATTGGTTATTGTTGAAAATAAATTACATGATCCATCAACGAGCACTTTAGGGAAGGACGGGTCTTCTGTTGTTATTGAGGATGTTAATTGTTCTGTTGATAATCGAACTCACGATACATCTATGGATCAATTTATTTCCCAAGCGCAACAGAATGGTTATACAACAGAGAGGTCTCGATTGCAGCTAAAATCTTATATAGGTCATATAGCAGAAGAAATATATGTTCACAGGTCCTTGCCTTTGGGTCAAGATAGAAGGAGAAATCGTTATTGGCTCTTTATAGCTTCGACTTCTAGCCTAGATCCTGGTTCGGGCAGAATTTTTGTTGAATCGCCAGATGGCCATTGGAAACTTATTGATTCTGTGGAGGTAGGCACTTGTCAAATTCTACTCCAAACTTCCTTTTTGTTTTATTGTGGGCTTCTGTTTGTTACTGTCCTTTTCTTCGTCGTATTCCGCTTATTCATATATAATCTTGAATTTGGGATTGTAATTCACTTACAGTTATTTTTATGATGTGTGTTAATTTTTTTGTGCAGGCATTTGATGCTCTGCTGACATCGTTGGACACTCGTGGAACTAGAGAATCTCATCTGCATATAATGTTGAAGAAGATTGAGGCATGCTTCAAAAACTGTGTGCAAAAGAATCGGTTACTCCATAGTATCTCGTATCAAAATAGAGACGGGGGCAGAATAGGAGCTTTGGAAGTAAATTCGAGCCATGTTTGTTCAAGTGCCGAGAGTCCTAGGAGTGCAGTCTGCAGTTCAAGTTCCGACGCATGCGAACCATCATTTTCCTTCAGAGTTCAAATTGGACGAAACGAAACAGAGAAAAAAAACTTCTTGAAGAGGTACGAAGATCTACAGATTTGGATGTGGAAAGAATGCTTCAGCTCCTCGTTTTTATGCGGCATGGCGCATGAAAAGAAAAGATGTCCGCCTCTATTGGGAACTTGTGATGTCTGCTTTGGTACTTATGATGCTAAAAAGGATCATTGCCCTTCTTGCCATGGTAACAAAAGAAGTACTTTAATAGACGAGAGTTCTACAATCACTTCAAACTTATCTCCAGTGAGAATCGGATTGATCAAGGCCCTGCTCACTTTACTCGAGGTACGGTAATTGTGTGCCTGCACAATTGCTACTTAACATTCAATCTTGACATGTCTAATATGTTGTACAACTAATACTTGCCGATATATCTTCTTACAGGTAACTGTTCCCTCTGAGGCTCTTCGTTCTTGTTGGACAGAAGATCTTAGGAATACATGGGGATCAAAATTGCAGCGTTCTTCATCCAGCGAGGATCTTCTACAGGTTTCCACTCCATTAATCAACACTTCATTTCTCGTTTCGCCTTTTTATTTCCTTTTTCCTTCCTGCTATTTGTTAAGTGGAGACACTGAGACATAACCCTTTTCTTTTTTTTTTTCTTTTTTCCTTTTAAAAAATTGGTGCAGATCCTGACTGAGTTTGAGGGTGCTATAAATCGCGAGTACATTACAGTAGGTTTTGAGACAACAGAAGAACTGCTCTCTTCGTGCGTCTCGTCAAAAGGTGCTGCTTTTGAATTTATCGACCTGGGATCTGTTACTCAGCTTCCTTGGATACCAAAAACTACTGCTGCTGTGGCTTTGAGGCTTTTGGAGCTCGATTCATCAATCTCGTACACTCCTAATCAAATTGCTGACTCTCAAGTGGAACCTCCTCCAGTTGAGTTCTCTCTCTCTCCCCCTCATACACACACGCACACACACAACACAGTAATTGGACTAGAAACGATATACTCTACAACACAAGAAAAAAACAAGTCGAAAGCTGAAACTTGTGTAGTATGTATAAGTGCATCCCAAGTGCTCAATAACTAAACTAGCAATAGTTTCTGGTTTAATGACTCCATTACTTCAATCTCTCTTTGACATAATTTCTTAAACGTACTTTTGTTGTCTGCAGAAGTTCACTTTAAAGTACGCTTACACAAAGGACATCCACAAAGCTGAAACTATTGAATTCAGCAGAAGTGGATTCGTAAAAGAAGAAAACCGAGATCATTTCACTCCTCGCATCTCTGGTAATAACAGGCAAGTAGTTCGTAAGAAAGGAAGTGGCCGACCAAGCAAGTCGAAGAAAAAATCCGTGGGTTCATTATCAAAATCTGGCAAAAAACAGAGTATTGCAGAAGGCGAGTCATTGGCTCAAACTCTCACACACGGACAAAAGCATGGAAGGGGTAGAAGAACTGTTAGGAGGAGAAGAACAGAGCAGAAGAATGTTACGGAAACACTAAACGAATACTTTGAAGACCAGCCAATAAATTCTGGCAAAAATGATGGCTCGATAAATAATATTGTAGTTGAAAATTACGAGAGTAGTCATCACAGCATAGAAGAATCTGATGATAATGCCAATGAGAACGTTTACGAGTTTCGAAAATTGGGTGCTACTATTCCAATGGATGTGAGTGAAGAAGAAGAAGAAGATGCTGATCAAATTGATGATGAAAATGGTTATAACGAGGAGGAAATTAATGATGAAGGGAACCACCTTATAGATGAAGGCTCGGAATCTGATGCGTCTGGAGATTACAGTGACTAAAGTTGCACGATTTTGAATTAATCCGATAATCAGAGGTTCGATTGTTTGACCAAATATATACGAGTAGTGTAGTGATCTTGCATTCCTTTTTGTGTTGTATGATTCGGCAATTGACTCGTCTGAGTACCGTGTAACATTATATAGGGGAAGCTTAAAAGGGAAAAAACAAAAAAACAAAAACAAAAACAAAAACAAATCAAGAGCAGGAATAATTTTTAAATATTGGCACAGTGTCAATATAGATATTAACAGGTACATATAATGTAATTGGGAGAGCAGGAATAATTTTTATTTTATATTAACAAACGTTTTGAAGAAAATAAATCAATATAGTGATCTTGCATTCTTGTGTGTTGCCCGAATTTGAGCGTGCAATTTGAAGTTTTGGGCCAATTTGAAGTACATAATGTAATTTGGAGGGTAGGAATATATATATATTATTAATTAAAAAACGTTTTGAGGAAAATAAATAAATAAATATTATCGAAAGCGTGTTTATTTAACTTTAATACTAATTGAGATTAATTTGTAAAGAAAAAAACGTTAATTTTATTTCTTCAAATTTACCAAAACAAGTAAACAACTGTGTGCGTGAGAGATCAAAACGATCCTCATCTCGCTGGGTTAACTCAGTTGCCATGGCGAAATCTTTGATACTGCTTCACGCTATATTCCTCTCTGTTTTTGTCTTTCTCGCCGAATCGAACGCCCTATCTTCTCCGATCGGTGGCGAAACGACGTCGTCTTGTTCCGAACAAGGGAAGGGAAAGTCTTTGGCATGTCAGGTGGAAGAGGCCAAGCTCGAAATCAGTCGATTAGGTATTTATTCTATGGTATTTTCCCCTAATGTGTTTCGTTGTATTAATTTCTGAGCTGAGACAGTTCGCCATCGCAGAATCGATCCTCGAGGAAAGGATTGGAGATATGAACGCGAAAACTCGGCACTTCGAAGACTGCGAGAAGAAAATTGAGGATTTGGCTACGGTGATTGATCTTCTGGTAACCGATTTTTCGAGATTTGAGAATGATTCCTCGCGTGCGAGTGAAAAATTAACTGACCTTGAAGATGAGGTATTGTTTAATTTAGTGATGATGGTTTACTTCTGCTTATTCGTATTGGATTATTGGTTCGAATTTGGGGGTTTGGAAATTAGAATTAATAAATGGATTTGCTGTGATCGTGTAGGTTCGGCTTCTATGGGCAGCCTCTCGGAAGAATAACTTCGAAATCTACGAGATGGAACTCAAAGCATTAGGTGCCGAAAGAAGATTGAGAGAAGTTACTTCACAAGTTGGAGAGGTTATTTCATTTTATTGTTTGAGGAGAATGTTCCCCATTTATAGTTTTGTTAATATGGACTGTTTGATCGAATTTTTTCCCCTAACCCTTAGTTGCGAATTGCGATGCATTAGAAATTTTCGGATAATTAGTTTTTCGATCCTAATTGCTTTAAGGTGGAAGAGAGCATTTCATTCAGTAATGATCTGATTTGTTTTACACAAGGTTTTGTGTATCGTAAATTCGTAATACATACTAACTGCCAAGAAAAAGAAACGATACCTGGAAACAAATTAGCGCCGGTTAATAGCTCCCCTAATTTCATGTCTTCTGCGTGCAGATGTCTGAAATTGTATCAGAGCAGTGGATCCAAATTCAGCAACTTGAGCAGGCTGTTCACATGGCAGAGGTACTTGTACATTTCTTTGTTCTTCTTGCAAGGTTTATGTACAAATCCATAATTAAATATGTGTTACAGATTCGAGCGTCGAAGGTTAGAAAGAAACTCTGGAAACGATGCCCGTTTGTAAAGGTATAAATAGCGCAACACTTTGCTCCACATTGGGGATCTACTTTTTACCATTTTTTGACATATTTTAGCACAATCTGAATCTTTTCTATTTCCCGGTTTCATTTTTCACATGAAGTTACGAATGCTGACAATTATGCTATTTTGCTCTGTAGTCCATTATTGCTTATTTAAGTGATTGCCTCAAAACATTAAAGCGGATTCTCGATCCTTACGTTTCAAGATATGCGTCTTTGTTGGTTTCCTGCAATTCTCAAGCTTTGCAGATGTTTGCATCTGCAAAGGGTTATCATCATCAGGTACTGATTTTATCATTCCTGCTCTTCCAAACAGGTTTCTATTAAATCTAAATTATTTTGTCAATCTTTTAACTTTCAAGTTAGACGATAATTTTTGTTAATTTCGATAATCAATAATGCAAAAGTCTTCAGTGCAAATAATTAATTATGAGATTTGCCCTTCTTTTCTTATGTGTACATGTGAGTTTCCTCAAGGGTTGGTTAGCTAGTTAGCTAAATAAATTGAACTGAGCTAATACTGTAAACAATGTAGCTTGCAGCTGCCAGCTAGGCTCCTCTGCTCCTGAATAGACGTAACATTCGAAGGACCATAAATTTTAGAACGAAGCAGAAAACATCATTCTTTTGTTTTCAAAACCTACTGGTCCCACATGCTTCCTTCTAGGTCCACAAGTTTGGGACATTATCGATCTGTGTGTTTTCCGTTAAAATTGTTAAGACGTTCACCGTGGCTTCATTCATGCAACTACCTACCGAAGGTCCCAAACTACCAAATTCTGAATGCTATGATGCCCTTTCTAGCTATTTTACTTTACTCGACTGATAATTTTTTTTTACAATGAGCTGAATTTTGATGCAGTCGATTTTTGTGTATAAAGTTTGCCTTAATTTTCCGATTAGGGAAGCTTGAAATCAATGCAATAATTGGTAATTGAGCATTACTGTATAGTGAAGGTTTATATTGTTCGGTATATTTGCTGTTATATATACTGACAAGTGTTTCCAATGTATAGCTGCAAGATTTGATAAGATATGCAATGCAAAACAATGAACTCACTGCAGTACTTGCACACGAGGAGGTGGTCTTTTTCGTGGTACGTCTTTTTTTCTTCTTCTGCTGCTAAAGAACTTCACCTATTCGACCCGAATTTTAATCCAACTTACGAATTCAGGCATCGGCACTGGTTGCGTTTCCACTAATGACTGCCTGCATGTTGCTCCTATCGCAATTCAGCTAGCTGGAAATAATTATTGCCTTGTGACCAAGGCACCATACCACTACCCCTAATGCATCAAAAAATTTTATCCAAAGGAATTTATGATGCCGTTGTGGCGGTTAACTGTCAGGAAAGTTGATAACGACCTAAGAAATTATCGAGGCATCTTTGATGGTCGCCTATCAGGACTACGACGAGGACATTTCTAATCGCAAATTCTGCCACTAGCTTCTCTGCACTGGAATTCTCGATCTTGCACCGTCGTTACGTACATTTAACAAGGTAAGATTGCAATTAGATTTTGCTGCTAACCTTTGTCTTACCCGCATAGGAGCATAGATTAGAACAACTTTAGACATTTACTATTTCGATTATTTATTTATAATATAATCTAGAATTGTGAATCTGGTATGGATGTTCATATATAGGTAGGGGACACTGTTCATGTGATTTTGTTGAGAACAAAGGAGCCATGTGCACATGGCTTTAAATGTTCGGCAAATATCGAACGATGGTGACTGGACTCGATCAATTAATTCTTAGCTGAATTAGTTTCAGACACAATTGAATTATTCTTTCTATGTAAAAATTCACAAATATATTGTTTCTTTCTAAAAAAAAAAAAAAAGAAAAACATTAAATATGAGACAAAAATATTTAGTTGTATATCTACTTCTCAGTTAAGATGTCTATTTATTTTCCCCCCAAAAAGGCAACCTCTACATAATGAGAAGTCTTTTCTTTAATTTTCGAAAAAGCTGAAAATATTGAATTCATGGCCGTCAAGCATTTAATTATCCCAGAAAATATAACTACACATACTAAAACATTTATTTTTTGGGTAAATAGCACTTTAACCCCCGTGGTTTGAAGTTTGTGCATATAACTCCTACTTTCAATAAAAGTACAAGGGATTCATATGCAAAATGTTCAAACTACAGAGGGGTTAATTGCTATTTACATTTACTTTGTTTTATTTAACAAAGTTCAACCTTGGAAACGTTGACCAATGGATTCAAACTCGAGCATTTGACTTCTCGCTTCACCAACGAAGCCATTTTTACGGGCATTAGAGAAACACTTCAGAGAAATGGGAAAAGACGTATTTGTCCTTTCAACTAAATTAATACTTCAGAGAAATGGGAAAAGACATATTTGTCCTTTCAACTAAATTAACCGATTCATGAAAAACATTGTGGCTTAATTATGAAATTTCATAAATGGAAATTTATAGTATGGCATGCATTTTATGAATGAATATGACAACATTTGAAGATGGGCACATGCCTTGTGTTCTCCCATGTTATACATAAACATAATTAATCACATTGCTTTATTTATGTCTATTTTTTTCTTCTATCAGAAATTTTTGACCTGTAATTTTCCTAACTCAAAAGGAAATCTGTCAATGCACATTTATTACATACAACCATAATACCTACTTAACCATGCAACTTTCAAATTTAGGTTCCCATCAATTTTTTCAATAAAATTCATTTATAATATTGATTAAATTACAGCCACCCCATGTAGTAATGTCAAATTACGAAAAAGTCCTTCATATTTGGATAATTACAACCACTATTCAACTATGAATCATAATGCATGCTCACCCTTATGGTGTCAAATTCAACATAATCTTCTACATTCAGTTTGTACCCGTCTTGTGCAAAAATGCAGTTTCTGATGAACCATGATGTTTACAAGTCAAGAGACACATCTTATGATCATCTTATTTCAAAATGGTGAGCTCGAATGAGGTAAAACGGGTACAAACTGGAGAATATTCCACGTAATCTAGAATATTCCACTAAATATGACACTGAAAGGGTGGACGCATAAGATGATTCATAGTTAAGAGGATAGTTTAATAACCCAACATGAGGGGTATTTTCGTAATTTGACTTTACCTCAGGGAAGTCGACGTAATTTAAAGTGACCGATAATAAGAAAAAAAATATTTAAGAAAAAAAAGACTAAAATGAAGAAATTATATATATTATAGGTGACCACTGCCACGTGTACAACACAATACACACTCTAAGAGAGAAAACCCTCTATAAAAGAAGCCATATACACTACCACAAAGTAGCATATCATCTGTTTCTCTCTCTAGCTATCCTTCTTCAATGGCGTCCTCTGCAAAACCTTTCTCTCTCTTCCTTCTCATCATCACCCTCTTAACCACACTACTCTACACTACTCATGCAAGAGAGAACCAATTCTTCAACAAAGCCTCCACCACTAACACCAACAACGACAACCTCGTACCAGATGACGTCGAAAAAGAACCTCTGAACAACCAGCCCGATTTCCTGCCGGAAAACGAAAACGGCTACGGCCTCTCCGGCCACAACTCCGTCCAACTCCCTCCTTCCGCCGCCACCACCGAATCCAAGCGGCCTCTCCCAAAGTACCTCCCAAGAAACTACAACCCAGTTGCGTACGTCACCGAACCAGAAGCCACCAACACATTTGCAGAAGAAAAAAGTTATTACAACAATGGCGGCGGCGGCGGTGAACGAAACTACTACTACAGTAACAACAACAACAACCAGCAACAAGAAGAAGAAGAAGAGGAAGAAGAGCCGCCGTACCGGAGAAGCTACCCCAACACCAGAAGCAACTACTACAACGGCGGCGAATTCCGGCGGCCGCAAGGAATGAGTGATACGAGGTCGCTGGAAAATGGAAAGTATTATTATGATTTAAATACAGAGAAATACAACAGTAATCACCCGTATGAAAGATTGAGGGCAAGAAATGAATACAGCAACGTCGTTAACAGAAATAACTACCGTGGGTATGAATCTAACGGCCGTGATAACTCCGTTAGAGGATACCGTCAGAACGGCCGTGAGGTTGATCAGTACTTTCAAGATGAGGGTTATAACAATAATTTGCCTTGAAAAAATATGAGATGCATGATAATTCAGATAACTACTTGTTTGGATTATAATATTTATTAATTAATGGTCGATTTGTAAGATAACGAAATTACGGATTAGTTTATATGTATGTATTTTTATTTTATTTTTTGATTTAAGAAATGTGTATGCTTTACACATTTTTTGGATGTCATTGTTGGAAAGAGTGATAATATAATATAATGGGATTTTGAGTTGTGTGTTATATATATCATATATGTTGATTAAAATTTATATTAATCAGAAATTAAATTCATAGCTAGGGTTTGTATATTATATTGTATCAAGATTTGAATTCTTGTAGGCAAAAAAATAAAAAATACAAAAAATGTATAAATTAAATGCGTACCACCTAATTAATTAATACTATGCCTTCTTGAAGCTTAACATGCCCAAAAAGCAAAAAAGAAGGGTTCATCTATTTCGAGTTTACGCATTTAAGTACATTCAATCCACATTATGACATATCGGACAGTTAATTTCTATGTTATACCCGATGATGAAGGTTATATGAGGGGGATTTTTATCATTGCTCCACACACACCAATGTAATACGCGTGTGTGTTTGTGTGTATATATATGATGAAGATATCTTCTACTCGATGTATCTCACCTAGTGTAGCATAGTATAGACCCCAGATCGACCTATAGTACTGTAAGGAATTACATTTACGATTGTCTAAGAAAAAACAGTACGTAGTTGGTTTATTTATGTTAAAGAGATCGAGCGGGATACTTTTGGACGAAACCATAATTCTAAAAACAAAAAAATGATGTGGAACCCTAATTTAACTCAAAAATCGCAATTGCACAAATTTATATACTGATATAATTACGCGAGTAGTCATGAACACTTAGATCTCGTCTGGTTACATATATTGGATTTATTGGAATTAATTTCATACCAATTAATTACTTATTTGAATTAGTTGGTACTACTGTTGGTAAAGATGCAATGGTTCCTTAGCTTAGTATAGATCTATCTAGTGTTGTATTTGTAATTAAAATATGTTGTTACATGTGATCTTTGATAACAACTCTAAGTGATTACTAATAAAGATATCGTAATTTGTTTTATTTCAAGGATAAAATTATATTTTTTTCAGTAACGCTAAGCTATCCTATAAACTACAGTAATATTGCAGTCTTGAATTAGTTTGAATCTTATCAACCGAACATGTTAATAAGTTAGTGAACACAACTTATAATAGCAATGCCATTCTTACTAATTAAACCATTCAAGAACTAAGCAAAGTACCATACACATCAATCCAAATTAAATCATTAATATATATATATATATATATATATATATATATATATATATATATATATATATATATATATATATATATATATATATTTTGAATATATCCTTTTGTGCCATGTACATACAGATTTACAGCATTTAATTTGCCATATATTTGGGATAGTGTTTTGGACATTTGTCATTGTCAAAAATAGCTGTGTAGCTGGGGAAATAACGAATAACAATTTTTTAGCCATGAATTTTGAAAGAGTAGTGTCAAAAGTTTTTAATGACAAATAGGTCCAAATTTTGGAAGAGCCAAAGGTTGACAATTTCCCCCATTTTTTTATTTTATTTTTATGTTCCAAGCTATGCATCACGGACACGGAAACGGTGATAGGGGGAAACGGATACAAAAAAACTGCATGTCCAAAAAATAGGGATACTGGAATTTGGGAGAAACGTGTAAATATTAAAAATATAGGGGTATATTTATAAATATGTTATATAAATATATTTAAATTTTTATTTATATATAAATTATTATTATCAACTGTCAATTTGCAATTGATCATTTAATCATGTAAATAATTAAAAAAACAACATTTTTCTAACTTTTTAAAAATTATAAAAATGACCCATAATGTATGTGACAGCTATCCTCAAATGTGGACCCGAAACCTATCCGAAATGCATGCGGATACGATAAGAAATTGAATTTTTCGTGCTACATAAGTCCCAAGCTACTTTTTTTTTTACTATATAATCAATTAATTAATTAATTAATTAATTATATATTTTTCTTTATAAGTAATTGATTAATTATATCAAGGGGCATACATTTCACTTTCAGCTGGGTTGGATTGGCTGGACAAAGGAATCTATACGTACTCTCTCAACTTATTCCATGGACTTAAGCAATTCTATATGGCCCTCATTTGTAATTTTACGTAATTGGTGAATTCAAGATTCATTTTTTATTTATTTATTTATTTATATAATTGCAGGCTCAATAGTTTGTATTTCTTATTTTACAGTGAAATCATGTCTAAAGGTGTTAAAATAAATTATTATAGAAACTTAATTTGAAAAACAAAGTTATTTTTCTTTTTCTAGTGAATATTTCTTTTTTAGAAAATCATTAATTAATCAATTTAATTTAGAGTTTGGACTGCACATATAGCCAAATATGGGCCTTGTAAAAAGTTCAATCCTTACGAGGACCTTCAAAAAGCCCAGTATGACGTGTCAAATTGTATACGGTTCTTTTCTTCGTAATGCCACGTGGTAATTTTAATTTTATTTATTTATTATTAATATAAAACAAAATTTTGGTAAATCCACAGCTTTTATCTAACGTGTTATTAATACTCGATAAATTAATTACCTCGCGTAAATAATAATTTCTCCTGGTCCCGACTCTGTGAAAACGTATTAAATATTAATTTATTGATAGAATTTTGATAGTCACAATTATATTAATTTATAGAGATTTAACTGTATAATTATTTTTGTACGGATAAATTATGTCGAAACTTATCAAACAATATTTAAGAGAAAGACAGTAGATCCAACCAATTCGTCCCCTGCACTTGAATGTGGTGGGTGAATATTGACATTTTCACCAAACACTTGTATGACATTTTAGCTTACTTAAAAAATAAGTACTTAACGTTTTTTTTCCTTTTTTAATTTATTATTATTATTATTATTATATTTTTTGAGAAAAATGCTTAACAAATTGATTGATCATTATAATTAAGTGAAAATAGAAAAATACTATTGTTCTTTATTACACGTAGATTAGTGTAGGGATCTTTCAACCAATTTATATAATTAATTAGGTATAGTTTTTATTTTTTAATAATTTTTTTTTTAAAGAATCAATCTTGATCACTGGACACAAACAAACCGGATCTTTCAACCGGGCCCAATAAAAGATTTGGGCCTTAACTTATGACCCATGTAACTGATTTGGGGCCATTCATTGGTGGAGAGGTTTAACGTTAATTTTGTGGTAGTATGGAATCAAGTCTTTTCATAATAAATTAATAATAACAAGAGATTAAATTATGGGTGGTTCAGCCGATATTTAATATAAATCGAGTTCCACTAATTTTTTGACATATGGCACTCTGAAGTCTTAACTCTTAAGAAATCACGATGATTATAATTAGAGCAACTCCAATGGAGGAACTAAATGAAACATCAAACTAAAAAACTACCACTTTGTGATAAGGAACGTCAAATTGGATTCCTGTTGCAAAATAACTATTTAATTCGGAGAAGGGTTATTAATGGGCATTGGTGGAAATATCGAAAGAAATTATGGAAAAATAAGGGTTTTCGACGAACTCAAATCGTAGTTGAGTACGAAACGAACTTTATCTCAAGTGAAACGGTGCAAGGAACAAAACTCATGAGCAAAGCTCATGAATCACGTCCAATTTCAGCAATCCAACGTCGTTTAGACTCCTAAAAGTTCGTTTTTGCTATTTTAGGTAAGTTTTAGAAAATTAATATCAAATCATAGAAAAATCGGATTAGGATTCCGTAAATTGGGTTGTTCCCAAAATTACGAGATCTACTAGAATCAGACTCTAACTCGTTTTTGCCGTTTTTGGTAATTTTTAGTATTTTCTTATTTTAATTAGGGTTTTCAGTTTTTTAGTATAAATAGCTACCTTAGGACTCTATTTTAGAAGAATTTCGAATTTTAATAAAAATTTTAGAGTTTTCTCTATTTTCTGGTGGATTCCAGAGTTTTCGGTGGATTCCGAATGTTATTTTGTTCTATAGGATTAATTCGTAGAAATTAATTCTTTACCGTGCTTCCGTTGTGCGTTACTTTGATACTCCAAAATTAAAAGATTCTCCTCCAATGGAAGCATTAAAGTGGGAATTATTTTGATACTCAACCACCCGAGGTGCAAAAATACTCCCTGGAAAATGAGGTATCAAAATTATAACCACTCCATTAACCTATCACAATTTGACATGTGGCGTTGAAAAATATAATTATTCGTATATTTAAAATTTGATAATCTATTTGATACTTGTGGTTGGAGTGAATTTTTTTTTCTATAAGCATGAAAGTATTATATCAAGTATCAAATGAATATTTTAATGTTCCGTTTTGATATTTTCTATTGGAGTGCTCTTAGGGTTAGAGGGATTGTAGGTTATGCTGAGTTTTTTTTTTTTTTTTTTTTCCAATTATTAAAATTCTAATAATATTTTTATTTAAACTATCAATGTGTCAATCATCTTATGACATTCAATTTTCCTATTAAAACAGGTCATCCGATCTAAAATTAGACCCTAATAATAAATTAATAATTATGTTTGGTGTGAGGCAACTCATATTGTTAACATGTCTCTCTTCACCTTTTGACTTGTAGTTGCAGATAAGAAATAACTTCCAAGAGGGGCCATTGCCCCTAATATCGTGTTAGCAGCAGATTTATACACACCTATATATATGTGCGATTAGTGATAACTGTATCGACGATTAACAAATTACCAGATGTAAATAACTCGATGTAGCATATAATTTTCCCATTAATACGTAAACATGGCCCATAATTAATTTGAAATTAATTTTTCTGAATAGACTCATCACCTCACAAAGCTGTCAAATTACTCTTAAACGTAGGCAACAAAAACCATTAGCTTATATACAAACCAATCAAAACCCTTTGCTGAATATGGCAATTAAAATTCAATAACATTAATTTTTTTTTAAATAAATAAATAAATAAAATAAAATAAAAAACACAAGTGCCGACAAGTTATTTACGAAGCTGACCTATTGAGTGGGACACTCACACTTTTGTATAACTCATCAAAATATAATAATGAAATAATTGAAAATTAAAATGACCTATACATATAATTTTCCCCTTCTATATATTCTTTAAATCCCTGTTTGGAATGATCATATTGAATTCATGGAGGTATTTTAATTTTAATTTTATTTAATTTCTTGGAGTTTATTTTTAAATTCTTGTTGAATTTTTCCTGAGTTTCTAATATTGTGTATTTAATAGGGTAATGATGTAATTATAGCTAATGGATGGCCGCTTGGTCTTGGAAATATGAACTCCAGAATCAGGGTGGCCGCCGCCGCCGACACCTCCCACACGGCGGCGCCGCCGCTAGCTAACCCCTCTCCGATCCTTCGAATTCGTACCTCAAGTTTCTCTTCATTCTCATCCTCTAATATTGACACCGAGGTTAATATAATTAATTAATATATTTCAACAATTTTACATTTTTTATTATTTTTTTTGTTGCACATTTTAACATATATAGATATATGTTGGTCATGTAGTCAACGGCGTCTTTCTTCCCTGACCGGAGTGTGTCACTAGGGCGGCTGATCGGAATCTTGCCGGCGAATAAAGGAATCTTGTTGTACGGCGATGAACACCGCCGGAAAATGCCAGATGATCGGAGGTCTAATCATCCAGCTGGCAAAGAAATTCATGAAAATAATTCTCGTGGGCTTTGTGTTCCATTGCTACAACATGTGATTGGGAAGATTAGCAGAAGTGGGGGCAGCTCAAGATTTAATTAGATACTAATTACTAATTAATTATGCATATTTTTCAATAAAATTCTGATTAATTTAGGCATTAAGTAATTTTTTTGCAATTTTTTCCTATCAAATGATTTTATTTTTTTGGTATTTTTCTTGGATTTATTTTATGCTACATTACAATAATTAGAATTTGAAATATGCTGGTTATATAATTACTGTTTATTTACACACTAAAATACACACATTTGTGTTGGTTTTATTTAGATTAGTTCTATTTTGGTTACTAATAATACAAATAATTATAAGAAAACATAGAAAAAAATATTAATATTATGCTAATAATAAAATAATAAGTCATAATTAAGTATAGTATATTGACGTAACGTTATAAGAAAATATTAAAAATCTGAAAATAATAAACAAGAGTGACCTTGGAGGGTGTATTAGGAATTTCGAGGAAAATTATCCTGGCAGCACAACTTTTAGCCTGGCAATTTATTCAGTCTAATGTTTAATTCATAAAGGTAAAGAGAAAACGAAGCTAAAACCCAAGCAAAGCCCTACTTCTCTCTCGTCGGCGCATTCGATCTGTCTGCACTTTCATCCGCCATGGCCGCCGTCGCCGCCGCCAGGTCAGTCCTGCGGTCCGCCACTACGTCCGCTCGTAGCGCCGCCCCGAGACTCTCCGCCGGCGTCAAGCCTAAAGCTGCTCCATCTCCATTTCGCATCCCATCTCAAAATCCCCAATCTGCTCGCATTTTTAGGTTTCTCACCACACAAAACAAATTCATTGATTTCTGGAGATTCTTCATTCTATTAATGTAAATTGATATTATAATTGTTGTGCGAATTAGGTCTCCGGTGGAATTGAGCAGTGTTAGCGTGGTGTCGATGTTACCGTATCACACTGCAACCGCATCTGCGCTGCTTACTTCCATGCTCTCCGTTGCTCCTCGTGGCCAGGCTTGGAGCATTGAAGGTAATTTTCATTTTATTTTTTCTAATGCGCGAACATAGATCATGTCACATTTACGGAACTCGAACAATAGTATTCTCGAATTTTAATGATGTAGGTGGATTATTTTATCGATATACGATTTCCATTTCAGAAAACGAAACATTATTGTTATCGGCGCACATCTCAGATAGAAAATTGGATAGTTCAATTAGGGGAGCATGAAGTATAATCCAGTGATTATTACGAAATTTTCGTTCATTCAGATTGAAATTGTAGTGTAGACTTAATCAATGGTACAAGGTTGAATGTTCTGAATTTATTACTCGACAGTAGCATTGACCTTTTGTTGATTATTGACTAATCGAAAACTTGAATTTTTTTTTTATAAGTGAGCCATCAGATTATTGGATTGTTCCAAGAATCTCAACCCTATCGTTATCACATTTTATCTTTTTTTGAAACTATAGATATTGATGGTTTAGTCTTGTATATATCATCCTAACACATGGTATTCATCAGATACTGATGATGTATGATGACTGTTGGATGGTACAAGTGAAGTTCTATTTACATGAGCACTAGGACAATGCGTGATAGGTAGTCATGAATGATTATGCACGAGGAGTTACCGATTTTTTTTCCTTTTCATTTATTGGGTTTATCTTTATAATTAGACCATCGAATGTTAAGATGTTGGTTTGATTCAATGGAAAAAGATTCTTGATGTTTGTAATTTTCTTCCCCAAGATTGTATTTCATTTTCTAGCTCCTTCAAGTTTTGCAAATGCTCGTACAATGGATGTTTTGTTGCAATCTATACATGAAGCGAAAATAATGTGCCAGTAGGCACATCTTCTATGTGCAATAATTATGCTATTGTTTTGGGATATTGCACAATGCACAATGACTTTCGTCTTTCTTTTTCTGGTGACAAAACAGTGCATAGATTAGAATAAATGCCAGCATAACCTTTTGACGTAAGCTTTTTTGTTTCCTTTTAGGGTTGTGATTACTGCTCATTGGCTGATTTTCAGTTTGAAGATTTTCGAAATTGTCAACTTTTATTTAAGCTCAACATATAAGCTTCAGACAGTAACTGGCTTTTCAGAACCATAGTCGTGAAAAATTGAAACCTCTGTTTTTTGCTTGACTTTTTGTAGCTGCATGTGGCTGAATTAGTTTCGTTTCTATCGCGCCGTCCATAAGAAATGTTTCTTTTTTCCTGTGTTGTAGATGGATGATTGTTAGAATGTGTTGTGATGCGGTGGCATTTCTTGATAATTCCATGGATGTCAATCGACATGTAATACTCTACTTGGAAGACACATTTTTCTGCGTCAAATTGTAATTTGAAGTCCAAATTGTTAAGCTATATCCTTCAGTCGCCCTTTAAAGCCCGTTTCCCCACCTTGGAACTAGATACAATAATAACATATGCTGCATTAGCTAGCTCCCTTAGTTCCTGTTTTCGGTGGATTATTTCTTCTTTTTTTTTTTTAGTTGTTGTGTTCGTTGGAAAAACTCGGTCGTCTGTTTAGATATATATTGATAAAAAATTGATTGTCCAGGAAACTAATGTCTTTTGGTGCTATTCTCACCATGGTGTAACCAGATATGAACGGAAAAATGGTCTTTCATAAGGATTTCTTTAAGTTTACTTGCGCCATTTTTTTAATCGAAGTGAATGTTTTAAACAAGTTAATTATGGCTGCCTATTCGTGTTTCCTACAATGGCTTGATATAAAGCTGATGCCGGTGAAGATTATATTTCCACTCCACAATTTTTGGTTCTCTTTTGGCAAACAATTTGGAATTTACCGGACTACTCACTAGAACCAGCATGTGCTTTATTAATCACTTGAACAGTTCCGGACAATGCTAAAATTCAGAGTGGGAAAAGTTACCGTTTTCCAATATACAAATGTTTCAAATTGCATGCGGTGGCATCGATTTTTGGTGTCTAATGTTTGGTTAAATAAATTGATGGATGAATGTTCTCATAATTTACCAATCAAGTAAATTTCAATGCTATTACAAAGCATTCTCATTTGAAAGAACTTGTACACTGATAAACAGGCAACTATCGATGCTCCATTTTAATATCTTTCTTGTAAGACATTAAACAAAGTATAATGGAACAAGTTGGGTTTCAAAATTAAACATTATTACCATTTTCACTATTACTACAATCTCAATGCAAACATACAAATCACGATAACAAACCTTTCAAACATGTATGATCTCAAGAAACAAGAGAGCAGATAACCATAAGTTGAGACCATATTGAAACGATATATAGTCAACCAACCAACCCAGATATTCGACTTCTCCACATTCGAGAATCAAGAAGCACCACACGGTGTAATCAAGTGATAAAATATCTTTCACAGAACAATCATTGAAGCCAGAATTTTAATAAACCCACGACATGTCAATTAACTTGAACGGAAAAAGAAGAAATAATATCATCAGAGAAATTTGTATACCAATACCCAACGGTGACAAAAGTAAAACTGAATTCCAATACCATCAAAATATTGCACAGGTGCTTTTTCAAGATATTTAGGCAACATTAACCAACTCGTACTCTATTAGAGAAAGATTGTTGTCCTCTTTGACCACAAAATTTGCTGGTTCTGTAACCTCAACACGGCCCCACTTGTCAACGCTAAGCCTCATAGACCCCTTGAACATGTCGATTTTTGCATTCCGAAGAATCACAGTATTACCAGGCTGCATCTGCTCAACTGCATTGCATTTTTAGATTTTCATCAACAAATAAATATATTATTATTATTTTTCTTTTGGCAAAATTCAAATCGCAGATTGAGGAAATAGGGGAGGGACAATATTTAAACCCTACACTAATGGTAAAGGCTAGGTAACAACTCTTCTAATGAGGGTTCTTTAACAAATAGATTTACACGAACATTTTTAAGGAAACATTCACTGCAAACTATACCATGAAAGAACTAATAATCAAAATACGTTGGTTAGATCATTACCATTTATTCACAAACATAAACATGCACACCCATGTTGGCGTGTGTAGATGAACGGGTAATGATCTACTTGGTGTAGCATAAAATTGACCGAAAGACCACCATAAGAACAGGTACCTCAGAAAATAAATTACTTCTTGAGCTCTAAGAAAAGAACATTAAAGTGAAACAAAAATTACAAGATCTAACAGATATAAGTAAGACATAATTATCTACAATGATTTCAAATGTTAAAATACAGTGCACAACTATGTTGCATAGACACGGCGAAACATGGAAACAGATACTAAGAAACAACATTTTCCAAAAAGGACACGGGAACATGTGGAGATGTGTAAATATTAAAAATATAAGGGCCAAGTTTTAAATTACAATACACACACACACACACACACACACACACACACACACACACACACACACACACACACACACACACACACACACACTTGCATACAAATATTTAAAAACTTATAATCAACTATTGCAAATTGCAATTAATTATTAAATAATGTAAATAATTAATGAAGAAGCAAAAAAAAAGGAATTTCGCTACTCAAATGTGTTTCTAATTTTCTCGATTTCGGAAACAGAAATGGTACACAAAGTGTCTGACACAAAACGCTTCCTAAATGCAGATACATTAAGAAATGAAGTGTTTAACACACACGTGTCAGACCAGCCGCCATTCTTTTTTATTAGCTTATACGTGGTTCCAATTGAAGTAATATCATAACATAGGGACCCGCAGATGAAATTCGCACTATATTGTAATGTTTCAACAGATCGTTGCCATGCAATCGTTGAACACGAATTATGCCATTAAATCCCCAAGAATGTAATTCATATGGCGAGCATTCATTTTGTCCAATAAAATACAGGGTTTTAGACAATCATATTCACAAATTTTGTTTCAGAAATAATTAATTAAAATTAAACAACAAACATATCGTGCCAAAGCACTAATTCAAAATTTTCTCATTTTTACATAGAATTCTCAAGCCCAGTAACAAACACAAACATTTCCAAAAAATTACCAAAAAACCCATAAATTAAGCTGCAGCCAGAGAAATACAACATTCAGTTTGTGTGTGTGCATAAGGGAGTAGTTGATAGATACCTTGTTCATTACGAGCGGTGAAGAGGATGGTCCCAGTTTCATCGCCGATGAGACACTCGGCGATTCTCGTACTCTGATTCTGGGGCCCACGAAACGTCGGATTCCTCGGCTTCTTGTTCAGAACGGTGTTGGAGCTCACTATTTTGACGGTGAGTGTGTGCCCAGTCGTGCCCGGCTTCAGATTCTCGACTTTCACGAACACCGGTTTCCGAAGCCCTGGCTTGTTCGCCGCGGAGGCGCCGCCCTGCTGCTGCGCTGTCGTCGCCGGAGCTTTGGTTGCCATGGAGAAACGCGGTTGCCTTAGGGGATTTTACTTTCGATCTCCGATTCTGAGACGAGGTCAAATCGACAAACCCTAACCCTAATTTTTCACGATTTCGGAAACTATGGTCGTTTGAGGTTTCAACTTTGATCCAGTAAACAGCAAGCGAAGACCAAACGGCGTCGTTTATACTCCGCAACAAAACGACGCCGTATAAGCAACTCCAAATTAATTTCCTGGGCCATAATTAAATATTTTCAGTCCAAATAAACCCAAAAAATCTTATGGTCCAACAAGCGCGTGAACAAACAACATCAACATATTCAAGTGGGCTAATTTTTTTAGGCCCAAAAGGCTTTTTATAATTTCCTTCACGTTTCACATTTTTCTATTTTTTGATTTTTTCTCTAATTGACTTTTATTTTCCTTTTATAGAAAATTAAAAAAAAAACATTTCAAATCTCGTAAATGCTACATCACGTGAAAAATATCGAATAGTTTAATGCCGTAGATCTGCATACAATTATATACACGTACAAATATAGATATGTGCTAGTGCACAACGAGTGCTTGCCGTGGACGTGTATAACGAGATTTTATCCGATAAAATTCATTATGTATAATATAAAACAAAACTATAACCGCGCGAGACGAATACGTACAAAATTTATCGTAATGGATAGGACATTCACTTATTTTATTAAATAGTAGCACTCAAATGAGATCAGGCGATGAAGAATTCAGATAATTCAACAGGTTTAGTGAGTCAGGAATCAAATAACTTGGTCTAAGTCGACTTATAAGGACTATTGATTTGTGTCTCTGCGGCGTGTCGATATAGAGATTTGGGATGGACCCATCAACATGTATATATATATATATATTCAATGCATAGTTATATGTATATATGCGTAACTCATTATTTATTACTCGGTGCATCTTCCACCCAATCTAGTATTTTTCTTACAGGCAGACTAATTAAAAAGAGTTTTGTTTTATGCTATGTTCGCCGTTCGGTGAACTTCATCGAATTATATTATATTATTGTTAGATATTGCAATTTAACCCTTGTAGTTTCTCCTTTATGTCCACGTGTATATTTTCTCTCTCTTAATTCTCTCATTCTCTTTCTAAAATTCAGGATGATTTATCTGTAATTCTTCTTAATTCTTCATAATTCTACAGTTATATACATTTAATAATGATATGGAATATTCCATATTCTTCGCTGCATCGGTAAAATAAATTATTATAAAATTTTAATTTAATCTGCATGGTGATTACGTAATATCCCCATATTACATACAAAATTTCGTACGTAACGACAGCCCATACCGCCTTACGTCAGAGTAACTGGCCCACAAATTTGGGCCATCCGAACAAAACGGAACTGCAGATCAGCACAGCCGAGGCGCGTGGGTTCAGTCTCAGTGGAGAGCGTGGCGTTGTTAACTAAAAACAATAATAATAATAATAATAATAATAAGGATAAATTCACTTTTTCCCCTTGTACTTTAACTCATCGCTTTTGTCCCCTTCTACTATAGATTGCATCGATCTGTCCCCCTGCACTTGAAATTTTGAATCAATGTGACCTTATTGTAAGTTGTCAGACATATAATACGATCTAAACTCTGAAATTGCAAAAACGCGACCCCTTTCAGTTTAAATAATTATTAAAAAACAAAAAAAGAGAATAACATTAATATAAAAAAATCAAGACAATGAGAAAGCATAGTCCACGACGGTACCATAATTTTTTTTAATATTTTTTAATAATTATTTAAACTGGGAGGGGTGGTTTTTTTGTAATATTTAGACTTAGATCAAACGGTGTTATGGTCAAATGTCTGAAACTAGCGGTGGTAACCACATTGAGATAATTTTCAAGTACACGGGGGCAAATCGATTCAATCGAAAGTAGAAGGGATAGTGGAATTTACACTAATAATAATAATTTAAAAGGAAAATATTAAATTAAATTACATATTTTATGGGTGGTAAAAAGTGACGAACATTTTACACCCAAAAGCGCGCACCACCGCCAGGGCCGATCCCACGTCATTGACTTTTGTCTTTTTACTTTATATAAATGAATCCACGTCACGCGCCTGGTCCCACTGCGTAAACACCCACCGCAAAATCCGCGGTATTTGTCTGTTGACCTGACACGTGTACACAAACGTTGTCTCATACGGTGGTGATACTCTACTAGTACTGACTGTAGTACATTGTACATTGTTCCTCGTACGCCTCAGTACATACAGGGAGTATATTTTTCTCTTTTTTCTTTTTTCACCCCATTTTAAGGAAGAAAAAAGGATTTGCTCTGTTTAATTTATTATTATTATTATTAATTATTTTTAATTATTATTCTCATAGAAGTCAAAAAGCTGTATTAAATGTATTGTTGAAAACTGAACGTGAGTAGCACGTGCTGCAATTTATTGGGATTTAGGCAATAATAAAAGTAATTACAAATTTACAATATGAGATTAAATTTGAATATTTTGACAATTAAAAAAAAAATCCTTGTAATCTAATTACTGATTATGGTAACTAGGTGGGGTGGGGGTGGGTTGGTTTTGAAATGACATATTTGGCCTTGTGCCTATTTATGCATTTCATCCTAAATTATATTTCAATGCATTTTACAATGAATATTTATATGAAAACTTTGAATTCTTGTGTACCATAATAGAGCTAATTACTTATAAGATTTTCTAGATACTTTTAAAATTGTGTAAAATTAAAAATTAAATATAAATACGACAAATTATAATTTCATTACGTTATTAAGTTATCGAGTATTTTTAAGATCATGACGTACACTTTCATAATTGTCTAACGGTCTGATCTAATATAGTAAAAAAAATTCAGACAACGATGAACGACAAAAAATAACTTTGTCCGTACGGTAATTATTACGTTATCGAATATTTCTGATATTTTGAAACCACGATTATCTATATAATGATTAGCCGACCATGCTCGCAACATAACAACAAATCCAGACGCCCAAAGTTGTACGTTTCGCACGAACTCGATACGTAGACGACAAAATTCACCTTTCGAACGATCAGTTTAAATTTTGAACACGTTGCGACACGCCGTTTTTTTTTAATTAAATTATCAAATAAGTTGAGTATATATATACACTTTAATGATTCCAAACATTCTAAGTTGTATATATAGTACACCAATATCTATCACTAGCTATATATAACCTATTGAACTATATATATAGTACTTGCAAACTTTCTATAGAACATATTGTTCAATTTTCTTTTACAATGTAAACATATATTTAATATATCAATTATACCCTCGAAGAATTAAATATAAAAAATACAAATAATAGTTGGTGGTTGCACCTAATTAAAACTTGGCATGTTCACTACTTCCATTTTCCATTGAAGCTCTATCCTCACAAATATTAAAATAATAAAAATAAGAGATAAAGGGCAAAAATGGAATTAAAAAAAAAACAAAAAACAAAAAGCACCTCCTAAAAATATTATGGAACACAACACTTAATATACAATACGACAATTCGCCATGCAAAGTCATTACAACAATCTTCCCACGTATCTCCTAAACCCTAATCTCCTTCGCCACGCTACCACCACCACCACCAC